CAAAATAAATTTAACATTGCACAACGCATAACTTACATTTTCTCCAATTTCATTGTACTCTGGGAAAAACATTGCAAGAGCTGCTCCAATTGGCTGGTACTTAAGTTGGAGAAGTGCTTCCTCGATTGTATCTATTCTCTTGAAGTCTTTGATGTACCCAAACCGAGATAGGGCACGATCAGGTATATGTTGAGGACACCCCGTGAATGGTCTATCTTCTTCTCTTTGAATTCCATTTTCCATTACGTAATGCATTCCTCTGTTGATACTTGAGGTGTAGCAGTAGTGACCGCCTTTGCGAACTTGTCTTCGCTTCACTGGCTCTGTGAAATCAATCAAATCTTGCAAAGAGTACTCTATGTTAAGATCTGTGTCACGACCGTTAATCAATCTCACTGCCCTTATAAGATCTCTTGCGACCACAGCCCAACAAATATCTGAAAACGTACGAAAACAAACTTCATTAACTAAATTTTTTGTTAAGAAAAATGTTATATGTTTTGTTCTTACCGTGATCTAGTTGGTTTGCCACTATCCCCATAATGATTGCCCAATCCACATCATCTAAGCAAACGGGAAAGATCTGTACCTCAAAACAAATAAGAATTATAAACATAAATTCATCTAAATTTCATTACTATTAACAAACGTACGATAAAATCTTATACCCTGCGTTTGATATACGATGCAAATCTCACATGCTTGATATCTCCACTTGAATTGTCAATGTACTCGGTGACTCTAACTTTGGAATCAGGTTTAGTTCTCATTATGCTTAATAAAATATCATGCGGAACGATACGAAAGACCTCAGCCACTAATGGTTGAAGTTGTGGGTCAGTCAATGCTAAAATCTGCTCAAATATGGGTAACATTTCATCAGGAACAGCAGCAAGCACCTGAAAAACATCACACTCGAAATCTTAGATTTAGAATAAAACCGTGAAAGATTAAGTCAGATATGTTCTATACAGACAATCAAGACCAACAGCAAAGACCAAACAAATCTAACTATGTCTCTTCCATCACCAAAGTAAACTTAACTAAACAACAAAAGTCAACTTTTTATTCTCATAAACGTACTTCTGCAGGTGTAGTGTCTGAGCTCTCACTTGTTTTTGACATAGTCTAAGTTAGGATCTGCAAAAAAAGATTTAGCAAGAAATTTTCAGGCAAAGTTTCAAAAAGGCAAAACAGAGTAAACCAACAGTTTCTAAGTAAGAAGAAGTAATACAAATAAGAAAGAAAGTAAAGACTACTTGTAGAAATATAGAGAATCAATATAACAGAAATGAACAAGTTTCTTACTAGCCAGAAGCCACTCTAGACTCTTGTAACTTAATTTCTCTGCTCTCCACAATTCTCTTCCTTAAACGTCAAAAGTGAGATAAAATGTTTCTCTCTTCTAACTCTAGAGGGAAACTTGTCACTATAAAGATTGCAGAGTTACATAATGTCTTTACGCTATAAATTTTTCCTTCTAGTTATCTGCACCCATTGAACACAACATTGACCATTAACACTAATATGGGGAGATATACAATATCTACTCATCTTACTTCTGAATCCACTCCTTACTAAATATAGAAATTTCAGAAGCAACTTTAACTTTTTGACCCATCACAGTTAATTATTTCGTTCGTAAATGTTTTTACTCTCCTTATTTTTATTGGATGTCAATTTTTTTTTTCCTTTAGCCTTTCGTTCCACAATCAACTGATTCAAAAGGAAAAGAAAAAAAAAAGTATTTGCCAAGTTATTCACGAATAAAATATCTCTTCAAGCATGAATAAAATATTTTTGCACACTTATATTCTTAAAGTATTTGGCAATTTCTCCTCTATCATTTTGCTACATAATAACACTGAACAAAAGAATGCATTCATATAGAAGAAGAAGGATATAATTTTTACAAGATTGTTTCCGATATGCACACTAATTCATCTATACATGTTTATAGAGTTACTTAACTTGAAGAGAACTTCAATTTTGTTTTACCAATATTACTAGAGATAACTAGAAAAGACACTTACAAAACTAACATCTTCAAAATATATACAGTTTTATTGGTGAAGGGCCTCTCTTAAGCCGTGGACAAAACCTCCAACTCTGCCCACCAAAGAGGTGACAATTTCGGCGTAGCATCATTCGGTGATATTCCCGTGATCTCCCGTAACCATCCTGTGACTTCCCGCATTGTAGGTCTCTCTTTCGGGTCGGTCCTGAGGCATGATTTGATCACTTCACCTATATTCTCAATCTTGTCATCATAAGATTCCAGTGTTGGATCTACCATCTTGGCTAGAGTCTCTCCTCTTAAGAAATCAACCAGCGCGCTATCTACCGAGTCAGGTTTGTTAACCGATTCTGGGAGTTTCCCGCTTATCATTTCGAATAATAGTAAACCGAAGCTGTAAACGTTTTCTTCTGGATTCAAGACTGAGATGTTTGTGTCTATGACTGTGTCGTTGATGCTAGTCTCTGTCTCAGATGGACCGAAACTGAAATCCGATACTTTGACAGCATAATCCTCTGTGAGCTGAAGAGATGACGAGACGAGATTGGTGTGAGCTATAGGTGGATTGAGTTGGTGCATATGGTCAAGGCAATATGCTAATCCCATTGCAATTCTTAACCGCATTCCCCAATCCAAGTGTTCTGATTCTTTAACTGTAATAAAAAAAATATGTTTTGATTCCCTTTAGATCACAAAGAAAACAAGCCAACATGTGACATTGTGTAGCTAGCTTATGACAAAAGTACTCACAGTGTAAATGCTCAAAGAGTGATCCATTTGGAGCATACTCAAAGATCAAGATCCTAGCGAAAGGTTCCTTTTCTTCACAATACCCAAGAAGGTTTGCAAAATTCTTGTGGTTGATCTTCGATAACATTTCGATCTGAAATTGTGAAACAGAACACGCTAAAGTCGACTATATATTGTTATTATAAGAAATCAAAAATGGGAAGAACCATACCTTCTTCCTAAAGTGAATTTCTGTATTGTCCTTCCAGTCTTTGGCAGAGGTAGTAGCAAAAGAAGCAACAGCAATCTCCACTCCACTTGATAATGTTCCTTTGAACAATTTCCCAATGGGGCAAGATCCAATGACATTACTAAAATCTTCACATGCAGCTTCAATCTCAGATCTTTTAAGTACAGGTATACCTGAGCATCAAAAAATCACACATTGATGAAACCAAAGTAAGTGCACTAGCCAAAACATTCTATGTTATGTAACAATTTAAGAAAGGAAATTACCAGTAACGAATACTTTCTGAGTTGTCCACTAAGACCAGTACGCCAAGGATTCACAGTTTTCCCGGCCTTACTAGTGAAAAAGTAGAGACCGGTAGCTACAAGGAGAAGAAAAAAGGCACCGCCTACGCAGCCAACTACTAAAGGAACAGCCACTGAAGAAGAATGAGCGTTTCTTGGAGTGGAAGGATTTACAAGTGACACAGAAGGTGAAGGTGAAACATCTTGTGTAGATGATCTCTTTTGTGGCTCTGGAACTGTTGAAGATTTAGTTGAAACATGTTTAGGAGAAGGTTGTGGTGACGATGATGGTGTTATAGTTGCAGCCACAACACGGTTTTTGCGGTCTTTTCTCGAAGGTAAATCTTTGTAAGGGTAACGGACAAGTGTTTTCCTGTGAAATCCAAAAGCTTTCCTATCAAAAGGTAGAAAACGAAATTGAAGCCATTGCCAAAACATGCTCTAAAATAAAGATCAAAATATAGTAAGTTACAGTATATAGTTTATAAGCATGATTAAGTGTCGGTTACAAATTGTGAAATAAATTTGTAGATCTCTACCAACCCCGTTGGCCGTTGGGACTTTGATGCTATAGATGAGTTCTATAAAGGTGATATGCCAGATTGGCCATCGAATGATGATAAGTTACAGTTCTATGAGGTGAGGTGTTACTTTGACTCATCTTCTTTGATGATAAGTTTCAATTTCTTTTGATTCATCTTCTATGAGCTCGAGGTGATCTGTTTTGACTTGTCTTTCTTCAACTAACTTTAGATGTTTAAAAATGTATAGGTGAATGAATCAGAGTTGCGAGACAATGAATGGCTTCATCTATATGCTGAAGTTGCATTGTTCTCCGAGTGGGAATCTGACATGGTGAGGATATTAAAAGCATATAGATATGTGAGCTTAGGACATTCTTTTCTCAAGTCGAGCAATGCAATCTTCTACATGAGTTTCAAGGTTCGTGAAGGTCCCGATTGCAGAGGTATAATAAGAAAAACAAGTGATGGAAGAACAGGACATATGCGCCTTGAAGCTAGATGTTGGATCGACAAGTAAATACGATGGTGGCTAGTATTTCGATATTTTGTGGATTATCTTGCAATGTTTAAGTAATTTACGGCATGATTCATTTATTTATGCATGGTAATAATATAGTTACTTAACTTGAAGAGGACAAGAAACTTGGATTTTACTAGATAACTACAAAAGACACGTATAAAACTCAGCTTTTGTTGGTGAATGGCTCTCTTCTTACGCCGTAGACAAGACCTCCAATTCTGGCCACCAAAGAGGTGAGAACTTAGACGTTGCATCGTTAGCCGTGATTTCCCATAACCAACCGTGACTTCTTGCATTCTCGATCTTCTTATTATAAGATTCTAGTGTTGGCCAGAGTGTCTCTCCTATTAAAAAATCAACCAGGCCCCTATCTACCGAGTCGAGTTTGTTAACCGATTCCGGGAGTTTCCCGGTTATCATTTCAAATAATAATAAACCATTTTTGTCAATTAGGCCTGTGAGCTTTTCTTTTAAAAAAAAAAAATAGTGATTTTGAATTTGGATTTAAATATTGACTCATAAATCTTAATTGAACCGGGTTGTGACATGCTTAACCCGGACTCGGTTATATGGGCGATTCCCGTTTGAACCGGTCGGTGTTAAATCACTATTCATTTGTCTTAACCATCATTGATTGATTTGGGGTTAAAAAGGAAATTGGGGTCTATTTACATTAAACCTAAAAAAAAATCAATTGGGAATAGACAAACCCTTGTCGGCTTGTCGTGTCCGTCCAGCAAAACTTATCAGACTCTCCCAATCAGTTTGGAAGTAGAAGACGACTGTTCACCGGAAAGATGTATGATGTGATGTTGGATGAAGCGAACTTGTGGTTTCACGAATACGAACCTCCTCTCCGTAGGCGGAAGATCGAAGAAGCTCCACCTTCACCTGTGGAAGACCTTTATTTCTCCGACGAAGAAGACATGAGTCCCGAGGAACGCGAAAAGTATCGTCTTCAAGTTGTTGAGTCCTGTGTAATTCTCTTTTAACTCTTTTCAAGTTTTGACGCTTACAAGATTTGTGCTTTCGTATCATACAATTGATTTTTGGATTTTGGTAATTAGGGATTCGATGTTGATTTCTTCAAGCATACGTTTAATGGGATAATGCCAAGTGGATGTTGTCCCTATGACACACTCTTCGCAAAGGCAGGACTCCATTGTTACAATCTTGAAAAGGTTTACTCTTTTCTTTTCTCTTTGATATTACTCTCTCCTCCTTGTGAGCTACTATTGTAGAATGTTGATATTCGTCACTGGTCATTGTTTCTACCTTGTAGGGGAAGAACTTACAGTTCAAGACTGTAGTAAAAGTTAACGCCGAAATCGGTTCCCTTTACAATTCCTATTCAACATCTGAGGTGATGGATCCGGTTAACAACTCTCTTCACACTTTCCAAACTTTAGTCACGGATGCAGGGAAGATGAACAAAGCGCGCTTGATACTTGTCACAAAAATATGCAGACTTAAGCCTCAAGTACCAGGTGTGGAAAGACTTTCATGACTTGGTTTGTAATTTGTCATTAACGTTGCCATGAAGATTATCATACGCTTGTAAAACATGGTTAATCATTTGGACATGTTTTAGGCATTGGAGATGCAAATGGCCGTTGGGACTTTGATGCTATAGATGATTTCTATAAAGGTGATATGCCAGATTGGCCACCGAATGGTGCATGTACTAAAGGTGATAAGCTACTACAGTTCTATGAGGTGAGGTGTTAGTTTTTTACTCATTTAATACATAATGTAATCCATCTTTAGTGTTTTTGCTTGTATACAAGATTATCTTTTTTTCCAACTAATTTTAGATGTTTAAAACTGCAGGTGAAGGAATCAGAGTTGCGAGACAATGAATGGATTTCTCTATATGCTGAAGCTGCATTGTTCTCCGAGTGGCACTCTGACATGGTGAGGATATAATAGCATATAGATATGTGAACATAGGACATCCATTTCTCAAAAAACCTTTTTTTAATTTGCAGAGTGCTTATACACCATTTGAGATGAAGAAAGTAGTGGTACAAACAAAAGAAGATGTAGACTCGAGTATGAAGCTCAAGTCGAGCAATGCAATCTTCTACATGACTTTCAAGGTTCGTGAAGGTCCCGATTGCAGAGGGATAGTAAGAAAAACAAGTGATGGAAGAACAGGACATATGCGCCTTGAAGCTAGATGTTGGATCGACAAGTAAAGCTGATAATGACCAGTAATCTGATTTTGTGTGGTCTTTTTTTTATGTATTGATCTTGCTATGTTTAAATGGTATCTATCTATGGCAGAAGTAGCAAAGTTCGCACTACTTGTTTCCCTCTGGATTTTTTTTTATAATTAAAATGCTCTATTTAAGATGTGCGCTTTTATCAACTATCTTATATCTTGTTTCAAGGAAATTACTTTGATGTGCAAACACTTGATGCGATGAGATAAACTAAAAGTGTTTTGCAAACGATGCAGACAGTTGTTAGTAGCAAAAGACAAAATCAAACTCTTGTTTTCACTTCACAAACACAGACTCAGTTGAGTTTACTAGCTCCATGCCTTTTCTTCCGCCTCTCTTCCTCTTCCCGTGAGAGTAATCTCGGATAGCTGAATCTTCTGAGCAATGGACTTGGTTCAGCAAAGTAGGTATTCGCCTTAGTGTTAATCTCTTCACCCGGAGTGGGTACATAAACAAGCATAATATCTATTGAGATCTTCATGTAACCGTTTTTTCCAAACTTATCGCCATGACTTGATCTCGCCACTACGTATTTTTCCCCATTCTCCTCATCTGCTGCTACTAGTGAAACGGCATGCAGTCCAACGAGCCTTGACCTTTGAAGTACAGGCCCTCGATAGATCTTCAAACAAAAAACCAAACCAATATTAGCTTGCATGATAAATTTAACACTGCAAAACAACGCATAACTTACATTTTCTCCAATTTCATTGTACTCTGGGAAAAACATTGCCACAGCAGCTCCGATGGGTTGGTGCTTAAGTTGGAGAAGCGCTTCCTCGATTGTATCTATTCTCTTGAAGTCTTTGATGTACCCTAATCCCGATAAGACACGATCAGGAATATATTGAGGACATCCCGTGAATGGTCTATCTTCTTCTCTTTGAATCCCATTTTCCATTACGTAACGCATTCCTCTGTTGATGCTTGAGGTGTAGCAGTAGTGACCGTCATTGCGAACTTGTCTTCGCTGCACCGGATCTGTAAAATCAATCAAATCTTGCACAGAGTACTCTATGTTAGGATCTGTGTCACGACCGTTAATCAATCTCACTGCCCTTATAAGATCTCTTGCAACGACAGCCCAGCAAATATCTGAAAACATACGAAAACAAACTTCGTTAACTAAATTTTTTGTTAAGAAAAATGTTATATGTTTTGTTCTTACCGTGATCTAGTTGGTTTGCCACTATCCCCATAATGATTGCCCAATCCACATCATCTAAGCAAACGGGAAAGATCTGTACCTCAAAACAAATAAGAATTATAAACATAAATTCATCTAAATTTCATTACTATTAACAAACGTACGATAAAATCTTATACCCTGCGTTTGATATACGATGCAAATCTCACATGCTTGATATCTCCACTTGAATCGTCAATGTATTCGGTGACTTTAACTTTGGAATCAGGTTTAGTTCTCATTATGCTTAATAAAATATCATGCGGAACGATACGAAAGACCTCAGCCACTAATGGTTGAAGTTGTGGGTCAGTCAATGCTAAAATCTGCTCAAATATGGGTAACATTTCGTCAGGAACAGCAGCAAGCACCTGAAAAACATCACATTCGAAATCCAAGATTAAGAATAAAACCGTGAAAGATTAAGTGAGATTTTATACAGACAATCAAGACCAGAAACAAAGACCAAACATATCTAACTAACTATGTCTCTTCCATTACCAAAGTAAACTTAACTACACCACAAAAATCAACTTTTATTATCATATACTTACTACATCACATTCGAAATCCAAGATTTAGAATGAACCCGTGAAAGATTAAGTGAGATTTTATACAGACAATTAAGAGCAGAAGCAAAGACCAAACATATCTAACTATGTCTCTTTCATCACCAAAGTAAACTTAATTACACAACAAAAATCAACTTTTTATTATCATATACTTACTTCTGCAGGTGTAGTGTCTGAGCTCTCACCTCTTTGTGCCATATTTGAAGTTAGGATCTGCATTTTAAATTTTAGCAAAAACTTAGCAGACAAGTTTCAAAAAGACAAACAGAGTAAACCAACAGTTTCCATTTAAGAAGTAATACAAAAAAAAAACTAAGGACTACTTGTAGACATATATAGAACAACATAACAGAAATGAACAAGGTAAGTTTCTTACTAGCCAGAAAGGCAGAAACCACTAGAATCTTGTAACTTAATTTCTCTGTTCTCCAAAACTCTCTTCCTTTTAAACGTCAAAAGTGAGATAAAATGTTTCTGTGTTCTAACTCTAGAGGGAAACTTGTCACTATAAAGATTGCAGAGTTACATAATGTCTTTACGCTATAAATTTTTCCTTCTAGTTATCTGCACCCATTGAACACAACATTGACCATTAACACTAATATGGGGAGATATACAATATCTACTCATCTTACTTCTGAATCCACTCCTTACTAAATATAGAAATTTCAGAAGCAACTTTAACTTTTTGACCCATCACAGTTAATTATTTCGTTCGTAAATGTTTTTACTCTCCTTATTTTTATTGGATGTCAATTTTTTTTTTCCTTTAGCCTTTCGCTCCACAATCAACTGATTCAAAAGGAAAAGAAAAAAAAAAAAAGTATTTGCCAAGTTATTCACGAATAAAATATCTCTTCAAGCATGAATAAAATATTTTTGCACACTTATATTCTTAAAGTATTTGGCAATTTCTCCTCTATCATTTTGCTACATAATAACACTGAACAAAAGAATGCATTCATATAGAAGAAGAAGGATATAATTTTTACAAGATTGTTTCCGACATGCACACTAATTCATCTATACATGTTTATAGAGTTACTTAACTTGAGAGAACTTCAATTTTGTTTTACCAATATTACTAGAGATAACTAGAAAAGACACTTACAAAACTAACATCTTCAAAATATATACAGTTTTATTGGTGAAGGGCCTCTCTTAAGCCGTGGACAAAACCTCCAACTCTGCCCACCAAAGAGGTGACAATTTCGGCGTAGCATCATTCGGTGATATTCCCGTGATCTCCCGTAACCATCCTGTGACTTCCCGCATTGTAGGTCTCTCTTTCGGGTCGGTCCTGAGGCATGATTTGATCACTTCACCTATATTCTCAATCTTGTCATCATAAGATTCCAGTGTTGGATCTACCATCTTGGCTAGAGTCTCTCCTCTTAAGAAATCAACCAGCGCGCTATCTACCGAGTCAGGTTTGTTAACCGATTCTGGGAGTTTCCCGCTTATCATTTCGAATAATAGTAAACCGAAGCTGTAAACGTTTTCTTCTGGATTCAAGACTGAGATGTTTGTGTCTATGACTGTGTCGTTGATGCTAGTCTCTGTCTCAGATGGACCGAAACTGAAATCCGATACTTTGACAGCATAATCCTCTGTGAGCTGAAGAGATGACGAGACGAGATTGGTGTGAGCTATAGGTGGATTGAGTTGGTGCATATGGTCAAGGCAATATGCTAATCCCATTGCAATTCTTAACCGCATTCCCCAATCCAAGTGTTCTGATTCTTTAACTGTAATAAAAAAAATATGTTTTGATTCCCTTTAGATCACAAAGAAAACAAGCCAACATGTGACATTGTGTAGCTAGCTTATGACAAAAGTACTCACAGTGTAAATGCTCAAAGAGTGATCCATTTGGAGCATACTCAAAGATCAAGATCCTAGTGAAAGGTTCCTTTTCTTCACAATACCCAAGAAGGTTTGCAAAATTCTTGTGGTTGATCTTCGATAACATTTCGATCTGAAATTGTGAAACAGAACACGCTAAAGTCGACTATATATTGTTATTATAAGAAATCAAAAATGGGAAGAACCATACCTTCTTCCTAAAGTGAATTTCTGTATTGTCCTTCCAGTCTTTGGCAGAGGTAGTAGCAAAAGAAGCAACAGCAATCTCCACTCCACTTGATAATGTTCCTTTGAACAATTTCCCAATGGGGCAAGATCCAATGACATTACTAAAATCTTCACATGCAGCTTCAATCTCAGATCTTTTAAGTACAGGTATACCTGAGTATCAAAAAATCAAACATTGATGAAACCAAAACATATTATGCCATGTAACAATTTAAGAAAGAAAATTACCAGTTACGAATACTTTCTGAAGTTGTCCGCTAAGACCAGTACGCCAAGGATTCACAGTTTTCCCGGCCTTACTAGTGAAACAGTAGACACCGGTAACTACAAGAAGAAGAAAAAAGGCACCGCCTACGCAGCCAATCACTAAAGGAACGGCCACTGAAGAAGAATGAGCGTTTCTTGGAGTGGGAGGATTTACAAGTGACACAGAAGGAGAAGGTGAAACATTTTGTGTAGATGATCTCATTTGTGGCTCCGGAACTGTTGAAGATCTAGTTGAAACATGTTTAGGAGAAGGTTTTGGGGATGATGATGGTGTTACAGTTGCAGCCACAACGCGGTTTCTGCGGTCTTTTCTCGAAGGCAAATCTTTGTTAGGGTAACGGACAAGTGTTTTCCTGTGAAATCCAAAAGCTTTCCTAACAAAAGGTAGAAAAATAAATTATAGCCATTGCAAAAGCATGCTCTAAAATAAAGATCAAAATACGGTAAGTTATATATAGTTTACAAGCATGAATAAGTGTCGGTTACAAGTAACAACAGTTTCTTCTACCATACATAGATAGAGAAAATGAAGCTACGGAATGGTTAGAGAAATTTGTAGATCTACCAACCCCTGACTATATATCTGTTCTAATCCAAAGACCCACTGGAAATCTCAGAAACTGAAGGTACTACTTACAAATTCGTTGAATCTTCATCTGACGATAGATCTTTCTTTAAACTATCTTCACTTTTCAGAAAATCTACACCTGAAAACAGAGGATATGAATCAGGGAACTTGGATTCTGTTTCTACGCAACCAAAGAGACAAAAACGAGTAAGTGAAACGATGAAACTCTCTCTACCTTTGTCTTTGAGCGAGAAACACGAACCCAAGTAGCTAAGAAGGATCACAAAAGCCACGAAAGAACGCATTTTGAACATGGATCGAGTGAATCCAGAAGACAACAGTAGTAAGAGTTGAGCAGAAGAAGATGATGAAATCGAAGTAGAATTCGAGATTAGAGATGAGAAGCAGAGACAATCAGATATTGAAGAAGCTCAAGACAAAAAGAGACTTCTGAGTTTTGAGCAAAGAAACCGCGTCCGCCGTGTTTTGCCCGATAGACGAAACTAGACAGAAGACAGTAGACACGACTTAATGAATTTTTTTTTTTTTTTGGGTCAACAAGACGAACTAACAAGGTTGCTTATTTATGAACCAATCAAAACGTTTTTTCTTTTGTATTTTCATGAAAATTAAATATATTTTTTTTTTTTGTTTTTTTTGCCCCAACGATTACTGTCAAATACCAACATCGTACCATGTTCGAACCATACTTGACCTATTCCAAACCACGAAAATAATTTTCTTTTCTTTACAAGTCTTTCATTCAAATTGATCTTATTTCATTGTGATTCAAAGTGGTGAGGATTTTTGTGAAATTAAAAAATAAATCATCAAAACTTAGTATTGAATTATACTATATGAATATTTTTTTAGAATTCAGTTCATCTTTTTAAGATTTGATTTGAGAAATTAACTCAAGAAAAAGCTCATGTTTAGACAAATTAATAAAATATTTCAACGTATCAATTAGTGGAAATACATAGAAAAAAAATGGGCATGTTCAATCCTGATTGTATGTTAAGGTATTTTAGATGTTTTATGGGCTCTAAAATAAACAAATTGTTTTCCTATTTATAAACGTTAGGTGAAAAATATGTGTAATACGGGTTAATAATAACATGTAGTGGCAGAACTAAAAGGGTTCAAAAGAAAAGGCTCAATTAGCCAGCCACCGTCTAAAAAGACTTGTTGCGTAGGGAATGGTTCTACCTTCTTGATTTTCTTGGTTATTTCTTACAATTTGTAATTGGTTATAATAAAATTCAACGAACGTATTGAAAACAAAACAAAACAAAGATAGTAACAAATATAAGAGCCACGTAGATTTGGTGTGATGATATTTGAATGATTGAGGTTGAAGGAATGATTGTCATCTTAAGTAATGTGAGACTATTTCAAAGTGGAGGTTGCTTAGATGTTGCTTTCTTCGTCCCCAATTCTCTTCCCATGTGGGATCCTCGTGGTCTGGTCACTTGTTATCAAGCAAACCCCTATATGTTTTAATTAACTTATTCTAATTCATATTCTACTATTTTTATTTTGTCAACATTTCCATATTCTATTGTTATAGGAACCAATGCGAAAAAAACAATTTCTTTTTTAAAAACAAAAATGCCTTGAGAATCTAAGATAATAAACAATTTTCCTACCTATGTTGTTGGCGAAATAATTATTCTTCAATGGATAAGGATATGGTTTTGGAGCTTAGCTTCGGCAATGAGCAAAAAATAAATTTCTAACTAATTCAGGTTGGTCTGATGGTTGAAAGATTTATCTACAAGTAGAGGACCATGTTTAAATCTATCAAATACGATTTCAATTGTGATCATTAGCTACTATAAACGTTTGAAATGATAAGTATATAAGATCTTTCACATACAACAAAGATTAGTTTAGTTTAGATTTCGATTTGAGAATTTTCAGTTATCAAAACCAAGAAAAAACGATATAAGCTTAAAAATAAAAGGACGAAGAAGAGAACAAATATAAGAGAGCAGAAAGAATTGTTACTATTGTATAGAGTAAAATAAGAAAAGAATAAACAATTTCATATTTCCTTTAAGGGAAGAGAAATACATCATACATTACATAGATAAATGGTGAAGCTAGTCAAACTTTGTTATTTCTTACTCTTCCTAAATTTCACCTTCTTTATATTATATTTTCTAAATACTTCTATGCTTACAAAGATTATTTTTTCGTAGTTTAGATTTTATCATTAATTCATACATTTCACTCGACCGGAGCTCTCAGAATTCCGTCGTCGGTGCATCGGAAAACAAGACACACACCTAATCAAACCTTGCACATTGCAACTCGTACAATTCGTAAATCCAGATTTTTCCAAGAAGATTTTGTGGCTACCATTACACCGGTCACACACAACAAAACTCCATCCTCTACACAAATCACATATCTCATCAAATATTTTATCTGATGGTGGTAATGTGTCGATCAGCTTCCTCAACTCGTCATTCTCTTGTAACTGTTTAATCTCTTTCATCCCGCCAATATATCTTCCACCGATAAAAACCTTAGGCAACACAACTTTCTTGGTTCCAAAAATTGTTTGTAACTCATGGTGAAATTTTAAATCCATTGATAGATCTCACTCGTCCATTTTGATACGAAATGTATGAAGGATCGATCGCACAGATTTACATTCTTCGAATGTTTTACGTATGATTCGAAGGCTAGTGTAGTAGAGAACAACGCCTCGATGATCGGCGTTGGGGATATCCACGGTAGAGAAGAGTGTTGGTGTCGGAATCGGGTGTAAGAAATTGGCATTTGAGATACATCCATGAATCTTGGGACTCCGAGGCTGGTGGATGATTTGACCCCGTATAGAGTATGGTTTTGGCGGGGAATCATCTTCATGGAGAAGGTTTTGAATGTCTTTGAAAGATGAACAAGAGAAATGTCTCGGCCATTTCGGTGAGTCCGGAGAAATTTGGTGACGACGTCTGCGGAATTGAAGCCAATTCGAAAACATTAGAGAAGATCAATGACGAAATCTAAAATAAATGAGAATGTTAAAATACTGAAAAAGTGAGCGAGTCAAATATATTTATTACGAATGAAAATACTAGATAAGAATGATATCTAAATAAAATTAGAAAACAATTTCTTACCCAAAATGGCCAAAAGATTTCATTTACATTTTTACTTTTTGTTTTGGTCGTCGAAATTTATTAATAAGCCTGAAAAGTTCAAAAGAGATTTAAAATATATTCTGAAAACTTTCTAGTCTAATGATGAAAACATTTGAAAGCTTAAACATCGCATGTAGAACTTAGATTAAAAAATAAAAATAAAAAACTATGAAACATTACACATGTTCAATTTCGTATCCTACGAGCCGCTGATCAATTCTCATTAGCCTAAGGCGATTAACGTTACCAAGCATCATTAAACGTCTTCAAGCATCAACAAACATCTCCGAACACCACCAAGCACTCTCTATACTATACTGAGAAAGACATGCGGGTTTGGCCGCCATTTTTTCGAAATTCAGTTTCAAGGACTAACATAAAAAAAAAAATTCCGAGAATTTTTCATGGACTTATTTGTTTTAAAGCTGTGTAATTTTGTTTTATGCGATGAAAATTGATGTTGCAGCTAAAAAGCTCTTTCATTAATTACTTAAATTAGTAAATAACCATTTCTTCAATTTAATATAATCTTTTGTAATTTGTGATTTTAGATGAAAAAAAGCTAACAGAACAACTAAAATTAAATATTCCTTAAAATTGGAACAAATAAGAAAGAGTGCATTAGAAAAACAATTTGGTTTTATGCAATTTAAATTAAAACAAACAACAAAATTAATTGGTAAATATGATTGGCACATTCACCAAATTGAAGATTCTGTTTTAAAGGAGAGAACAAAAAATAAACCATATACTGTACACTCAAAAACCTATATAACAACATATTAACCAATCATAATCATTACCAAAAAGAACAACCCAATTTTAGTTGTTAATTAGTAACAATAATCAAGTTCTTCTAACAGTTCATCGAAACATGCTAACTCTATAAAAGCAGATAAAGTGGGCAACACTTCTCATTATCTCTTAGAACAAGTATTGATAAACAACAAGTTTTTCTTCCATATATATACTTTAAACAAAAGAATAAGATGGCTTACATTGTTTTTGCGTTTAAGGCTTTGTGTTTGTCTCTCTTGTTCATTGTTGTTGCAAGTCGTTCCACCGTCAGACCAAAAGTTTTCAACGTCCAACGCCATGGTTCTAAACCGGACGGAAAAACTGATAACGCCAATGTATGTACACCAGAGTTTTCCTATTTTAATATTTAGCACCAATTATTTTTGAGATGAAAATCTTAACACAAGTACATATATAACCAATATACAAATACAAAGATAAATATATATATTTTTAACTTTTTTGATTTATTTTGTTTAACCTATATCATTCTTAACGATTTTTAGGCATTCACAAGTGTATGGAGCCGTGCATGCAGAAGGAAAAGTGGAAGTAGTAAAATATATGTACCAAAAGGAACATTCTACCTCGGTGGTGTAGAGTTCGTGGGTCCATGCAAAAATCCTATTGAATTTATTATCGATGGAACTTTATTGGCTCCTGCAAATCCTAGCGACATTAAGCAAGACACATGGATCAACTTTAGGTACATCAACGATCTCTCTATCTCCGGTTCTGGTACACTTGACGGTCAAGGGAAACAGTCTTGGCCACTCAATGACTGCCACAAAAACCCCAATTGTCCTAAACTAGCTATGGTAACATTTCGTAAACTTTTTCACTATTGCCTCATTTTAAAAGAATATGATGATTATTTACATTTAGATCGAGTCTTTTAATAAACTTGAAATTGTTTTCATAGACTATGGGATTTGCATTCGTGAACAACTCGTATATCAAAGACATAACATCACTCAACAGCAAAATGGGACACTTCAACTTCTTCTCCGTCCATCACTTTAACATTACTGGCGTCACTATAACAGCTCCCTATAAAAAGTTTACTCTAACAGTTTTTATTATGTTTGGGAAGTCTGTCAGTTGGACATTGGCCCAATTGGTTTACCTGGTAGCCAGAAATGCAGGCGGCCTGACTATCCCCTGGCACTTAGTCGGAAGGCATTCCAAACTCGGGATAGGCAGAGTGGTAGCCCGTAAGGGCCTAACCGTTAACACGGTGGACCAGTCTACTATGTAGCACCTCGGTGCGTTCCTACCGGGGCCAACCGGATAGCCGATAGGGTTTATCAAAAGAAAAAAAAAAAAAAAAAAAAAAAAAACTATAACAGCTCCCGGCGATAGTCCCAACACCGACGGTATCAAGATGGGTTCATGTAGTAACATTCACATCTCCAACACAAACATTGGTACTGGAGACGATTGTATCGCCATTCTCTCTGGAACCACTAACCTCGATATCTCTAATGTTAAGTGTGGTCCTGGACATGGGATCAGTGTCGGAAGCTTAGGAAAGAACAAAGACGAGAAAGACGTGAAAGACTTAACAGTAAGAGACGTTTTTTTTAACGGTACTAGCGATGGTATTCGGATCAAGACTTGGGAATCTTCAGCCTCAAAAATCCTCGTTTCGAACTTCGTATACGAGAATATTCAGATGATTGACGTTGGAAAACCAATCAACATCGATCAAAAATATTGTCCTCACCCACCTTGTGAACATGAGCAAAAGGTTAACTTTCTATGCGAAAAAAAAAAATAAAGTTTCATTTTCTTTACTTTCATCACAAGAACGAAAAAAAACAAAAGACATCTTGTGTTTTTTTTTTTCAGGGAGAGTCTCACGTTCAAATCCAAGACCTTAAGTTAAAGAACATATATGGAACGTCGAAGAACAAAGTGGCAATGAATCTGCAATGTAGCAAAAGTTTTCCGTGCAAGAATGTGGAACTGATTGACATTAACATAAAGCATAATGGACTCGAAGGTGGTTCTTCCACTGCGGTGTGCGAGAATGTTGACGGTTCTGTACGCGGTAAAATGGTTCCTCAACATTGTCTAAATTGACAATCCATCAAAACAATAACGATGTGTTGTCAGGGCCGGTTATTGGCATGTGCAAGTGGTGCATTTGCACCGGGTCCAACAAATTTAAGGTCCAAATTCATAGTTTTTCTATTATTTAATTATTTAATTATGCTGAAATTTTATAAAATATCCATATGTAAAAGTCCCAAAATTTTATTTTAAAAGGTAATATTGAGGCCCAAAATTAATAAACAAAAATAACATGTCCAAATAGCTATAAAATACAAAATAATTTATGAAATATAACTTTTTGTAAATATATATATATATATATAAATTTTTTATTAAAGATAAGATTTTTTTTTGTATGGCACCGAGTCTTACCGATGAGTGAGCCGGGCCTGTGTGTTGTATATGATATTTTCATTTATGAATAATTGTCTAATTAATCGGTGTATATATGGATTTTTTTTTGTTATAACCAAATCATAAATATGTATATATATGCAAAACAAAATCCCCTTGATAAAAGTTGGTTCAGTTTAATGGTTGCGTCATGCATTGATAGTGTACAAAAGAAATTACTTTGCTAGTTTGTTTATGTTTCTTTCTGTCTATCAGAGTTCCGGTTTAGCGGGACGCCAAAACCCCTTCCGACCAACAAAAAACCGGTCCTGGTATATTTTGGTTGACCAATGAAGCGAGCCAAGTATGTATTCAAGCTTCTTTATTGTTTCCATGGTGTCTTGAACCACAAGATATCCGCCAGGTCTCACTATCCTATCTATCTCAGCTACCACTTGTACAATCTCACACCTGAAATTGACCCAAAAATAACAACAAAAGGTTAACCACACTAACCACGATATCAAACCGAGTTTCTTAGGACCGATTCTGGTTAAGCTAACTGTGACCGAAAGCAGAAAGAACTGAACCAAAACAGTGAATGCCTGCTGGCTACTGCTAAAGAATTGAAACTCTATAGAGATATAAATTCAGGTCTATTGTTTACCTTTGTGTGAGATCAGTATCACCCAGGAGGAAACTGGAATGTAGCAGATCGTATGTTCTAGGGTAAGTGTTGAGGGACTCACACCAATCATGGTAAATTCCGATCAAGCCTCGATCATAAACGACGGAGAGAGTGTCAGGTTTATTCACAGGGACAACATTCATCACCCAGAGAGGTCGATTTATAAGTGCAGCAGCAAAACTATACCAAAAAGGAAAGAAGAAAAACTAGTGTCAAGTTTCAGTTTGGGATAAACCGGATTCTTGTTAAAGTTTCAGAGAATGTAAAATTACCCGCCAAAACCAGCATTCATGTCCATCACATTCCGCACAGTCGACCAGTTTACAGCTAGATGTTCGAGATAAACATCAGATACAATTGCTGACCATTTCTCTGTATCTTTCTTCAATGTTTCTGCTTCGACTGAAATGCTTTGCGGTTTAACACTCACAAGCCGTTTAGGCCATAGTTCAGGCCAACTCTGGACATTACCGCTAGGTAATTTGGAAATGCATTTGGCGAGAGGAACATACCTAAAATCAATCAAAAGGATATGTTACAAAAAAAAGTGGACATACGTGAATGTGAAGCATCATTTTGTGTAAGAGTTTTATACCACGAAGCATTTGCTTCCTTTTTATCGCATAGAGGCGGATCTTGTGTGCTGCGCTTATTATAACAGGATTCTGAAATTGGCTTTTGATAGATCACAAGTCCAATTCCCGAGGAGTCAACCGTCTTGGTCACGACCTTCCAGCAAATGGATTTAGTCAGAGAAACCATTGCTGCAAACACAAAATAGTAACAATAAACCATAAAGATCAAGACCAGTGTTGAATAACCAAACCAAGAATATGATTGTTGCTAACCATTCCAAATTCTGCTATCTCTGTCATTATCTCGATAGACTGGTGTTGCAGACCAAATGAAGAAACCTCCTGGCCTGAGTACCCTATTGAGCTCCAACAACGGTTTCCCACCTAACAAAATAAACCAAAAAGATCATGAAAACCTCGAAGCTTAATGGTTAAGAGGGACAAAACAAAAAGGAACAAATAAATACCATCAGCATCCCAATGGACTCTGCACCGTGCACAATGGATAAGATCAAAAGCATTGCTGGGAAACGTAAGCTGTTGTGTTCCAATAACAGAAAGTGTTGCAGGTATTCCTCGTTCTAACGCAAATTGAATCTGAGCTTCATGTTCATCTTTAGGGGCAAATGACATTGTAATGACATCTTTATCTAATAAAGATCCGCCAAAGCTAGCAACGCCGCAACCAACATCTAATACAACCCTTATGTTTTTCCCCCATTTGATACTCGGTAAAGCCTATGAATATGAAATGAATTCAACACAAAGATCGATCCTTTCGATTCGAAAAAAAACAGGGGAAACAGCAAAAAGAAAGTGCTGACCTTTTCGATGAACTCAACGTAATGAGTAACCCCGAATTTGAATTGAGTACCTCCTCCAGGAAAAACTAGAAATTCACCCTCTTTTTTAACCCAATTTTGTTCTTTCTTGTATTCTACAAGCTTGGGGTGAGGAACATTGTCATACCAAATCTGCACATTATAGAGTAAACAAATAAAGAAATGTTCCAATAGCCTAATTCATGAAACTATAACACTCCAAAAATGTTAACTTTGAATCTATCCGACTCTAAAAAAACGGATCTTTCACTTTTCCTTTCACAGAAACTTCTACATACTCAAATGGGTCACTAAACTAAATCATATATCTTCAGATCAAGAGCAGCAACCAAAGCTTACCAAAAACAAAAACAGGAACTGTCTCTCACCATATCCCGGCTCTTAGGCCACGGAACCGGCGGCTTATAATTATCCGGCAAGGTAACGAGACATTGAGGACTTGGTTCAGGGCAATGACGTTCTCGATGTTCCATATGTCTCCTCGATTTGAGCTGCTTAATGGCAGCGTAATTATCAAGACAAGGTATGTAATCAACAGATTCTGCGCCTTTACATAGATCCCATTTCAGCTCATCCACCTCTTGGGAACTGTTAAGCTTCATCTTCTGTGGAGTTTGATCTGAAGAAACGTCGACGTTTTGGTGAGGATTTGGGGATTTGGGGTTTGGACCGTTTGGTGTGTAGTAATCGGTGGGGGAGAGAGAAGGGAAAGGGAATGTTGCGTTATCGGAGGTGAAGAGGAAGAAGGTGATGGCGATGAGGAGAGTGGAGAGGAGTAAAACGACGACGTGTTGTACTGATATCGCCATTGAAGAAGAAAGATCATTAGAGATCACTGTACGAGACGCGTTTTAAGGAAGAAGAAGAAGCAAGGTGTGAGCTGATCAGAGAGCTCCAAAAGTCGCAACTTTCACATTTCGATTTTTGCAGAGCTTAAGTAAAAATAAAATTTTATGCGCCGACAGAGTAAAAAAGAATGTGTCCGAAATATTTGATTAGTATAAGACAAAAATTTATTTTTGTAATAAATCATAATTATGTATCAATTATAAGTTAATCAATCAGAGGTTTTTAACAATTTTGTTTTTGTGATTTTTTCCGGAGACATCAGATCCAATTAAATCTACACACCGCTCATAGCCAGATCCAATCAACCTACATTCCTGAGGTTTATAATTTGGTCAATACATAGGATAGTACTTAATTATGATCATATTGAGCTGTGTGGTGGAGCAACAAATTCTCGAGCAGTAACAAATGCAAAAAATCAATCTATTATAAAACCATGAATGTATGATTGATATGTAACCCCCTATGGGTAAAATAAAATGCCTCAAGAGTCATCAAAAAGCACATAAATCCTCTCGGAGGTTTTTCTACTGCCTTGTCAAAGCTTAAAACAAAATACTCAACTGTTGAGACTGGGTAGATTTAATAGAAAGAAAATTAGTCGCAAAACAATCAATCCGGCAATCTTACTCAATGATTCCGGCACCACCATCGAGATCCACTTCTCCCATCCCTGTGTCCTCTTCTTCGTCTCCGCTCTCTTCATCGCCGCTAATTTCTTCATTGTCAAGACGTAGCTTAGCCATGTGTTCTGTCAGCATCTTATCATCACGTTCACTCACCTATAATTTAACACAGATTATTAACATTAATAGTCGGTTGTGAACCAAAATAAACAAAACACGAAAGGAAAGCTGGATCTTGTGACATGCAACTTGTGACGGTTCATCAGTAAAAAAAAAGAAGATAAGATACTCACAGCTCTAGCTCCCTCCTTAACGACAAGCTTGCCTTTGTGTGTCTCAATTGTCTCAGTGCATGCTGCTATGGCTTTGTTTAGAATTTCAATCCCTTGTTCCTGTTTAATATAAGACAGTAACTGAGAAGATTAGGAAAAATGGCACAAAACATAGCATTTACACATTTATGGTTTAAGTGAAGACAAATCCGCAAAGCTACATAATTGGCTAATAAAGTTGCAATGACAACATTAGTATCTGTGTGTGTTTTCTTAAGCCTCTGCTTTCCTTGCAACTAAATGATTTCAACTATTGCACTCAAAATTCTGGCAAGTTGCTTAAGTGGATATACAATCTAAAAAGAGATCATAAACCTCTTAACGATAAGTAGGGGAGGGTTTCTGTACTTCGCGAAACCAAGTAAATCATAATACAAGATAGAAGATTGGCTAACCTTGTCCAGCGTCTGAGTAGTAAGGACATACAGAGGTGGAGCAACCAACTTAATCTTAACAGGACAATCTTCATTTCCAGCGGCTTCAGCATTTCTCATGGCCTCCTGAAATTGCAAAAAAAGGTGAGAAAATCAAATGAAACCATAATGTATTATTTTCACAAGTTAAAGATAATCCAATAAGCGATATGACCTTAATGTGAACAACTCCGTCAAACTGGAAACACTTCAATTCGATATCAGCCCGGATTTTCATTGGTTGTGGTGTCATTCTCCTCCTAATGTTCTTCACAAGTGCATCTTTCACTTCTTCCGTAACAGCAGGTACAACCTTAGTCACCTACAAACATAAAACTTCTAAGATTATCCCCAAATGAAGTTTCTAGTAACGGCTAAACCAAAACCAGAGAACAAAGTATATACCTCTTGTCCATCAGGCCCAACTTCTTTGATCTCACGGGTGAGGGGACCCAACACCGAATCAGGATCGGTCACTAAGATCTTGAAGGCCTGAACAAAAGAGAAAGATATTTGAGAACTAAAAAACCATAAAAATACAACGAATCTCAAATTCTTAAATTCTTACCTCAAAAGCATGACCATGTCTTCGATACAAAGGCCAACCAATGTTCACATACAACTCCTGCAACATGAAAGCTTGAATGAATTTCTAATCAACGATTCTAAACTATTAGTAGCACCTAAATTCAGAGATTTGATAACATCTCAAACCAGCAAATCCCAAATTCAGATGGACAACACTCGTCAAAGTCCAATTCCAGCAAATAATCCGTAAATTCAACTACTAAAATATAGAGTAACTTGGAAGATTTTACCTCCAAATCAATAGATAGAGTCTCAGCAACATGGCGCATGATAGAATGCACAAGCTTGCTCTTGTTATACCTCTCTTCACAAGTCTGAATATCCTCCTCACTGACTCTACGTTTGCTCAGATCAATGTAACCTTTCTCTTTGTCCACACGGAGAACCATGACAGGCTCAATTCTTCCGACCTTAATCAAACTGCTGACACTTCGGATCCGACGACGAGAGAGCTCGGAGAAGAGGATCATGCCTTCGATGTTGTTGTACTCGAGGAGAGAAACGTAGGCTCCCATATCGGCGATGTTCTTCACCTGGATCATAACCGCCATATCCACCTCTGGGTATTTCGCCTCGTACATCCGACACTCGAGATTCGGTGTTTGGCTCGCCATGATTGGAAGATTTCGATACTGCTTAAGGTCACGCGAATTCACTCTACGTTGAATCGGAAAAGGCTATGAGTGCGGAGAAACTTAGGGTTTTAGACTTTTAGGCGACGGAGCAAATCAACAGAATTTTTTGGCTAGGGATAAGAGATGAGCAAGGGAAAAAAAAAACTGAAAATTTGGCGACTTGCGTCAAAGATGCCAGTTACAAACGACGCCGTGTCGGGTAAACAATTAGGTTTTAATTGGGCCACAAAATAGAGTTTCAAGGGTTTTGGGGGGGTTTAAAGCCCATTGGATCGATATTGTTTTATCGTTCATCAATTTCTTTCACTGGTTCATAAATTGCGTTTGAACCAGCACTAAAAACCACTCATACGCTTTGAGCTTGAATCAACATTTGACAATCGAAATTTTTTTCAGATCGAGCCGATCGGGAAATCAGATTGAACCTGACTGTAACTATAGAATCGATCACCAGGTGGGTTGATGAACCTTAGACCAGAATTTAAAGTCATGTCTTCGTCTCTTACAAAAAAAAAAAAAAAGAAGTCTACCTCACAAAATCGTAAAAGCTGAAGAACTTAAACATAGTCATAAACTAGCTCCAAACATATCACACTAAGAGAGCTTCATATAGAAACACACTTGACACAAGAGTCCCTCGTAGCTGCTTACCCTTCCAGAAGCATCTGATTGAAATGCCATGTTCCTGAAATTACCCACAAACATTAAACACACATAAATTAAAACAGAAGAGTGGAGGATGAATAAGTGGATTTTGTTGTTCTTTTGTATCTTTATAGATTAAATCATAATGTGAGATATTATTATGTACCGTGTCCTTTGCCAACTCGTCGCAGCTGAGCCACATATTCTGAGATCATCTTGATTGCTTCCACCTGAGAAATATTTTATTTTATCATAAAATTTCAATTAGATTCTCTTTGACAGCTTAGATACAAAAGCAGTCCTTTGCCAGATCAAATGATTATACCTGCTCGTTCAGAAACTCGCTCTCAATAAAGTCTGCCAAGTGGACATCATTGTTCTTCGAAGCAACCTGTTGAACAAAGCATTACAAAACTGAGAACAGTTCTTGCAGAGTGAAGATTAGATTTACTTCTCAAATAGGGATTTTGATAAATATAGTATAAACTCAAGAAGAGATGGTCTTTACACTGTGAAGGTTTAAGAGCTTCTCATTAACTAGTTTCTCCAATGACAGAGCCAGCTCCATGCCTGCATGAACAAATCACAGAATTGTATGTTATAACTCCTATATCCATTGAGACTTCAATCTCCATATGAGAGAAACATTTTCATGATACTTAAGAGCTCCTTGCCAATGAAAACTTGCAATCTCTTAAAAAGCTTAACATAACATTGGTGTCAACTTCTAACTTCTCCAAAATTTATTACTTACAATGTGGCAAACATATGAAACTAAAGATAACTTTCACTTGGGATTTTTCTTGTAGAGAAACCTATAAAGCATCAATAGATACAAAGTTGATGCAGCGCATCTTCACTACTTGTTGGGCCTCGTTAACGTATCTCGTGCCCATCAAGATATTCAGTTGTAACAAGATCATTTCCTTAGTTTTTGAGACATTATCACTTCGTTTACGTTTTGTTATCATAGGATATTCTTAATATCTTTTAGGATTAGGATTAGTTTTATTTGCTTTTATCTCACGACTCTATATAAAGAGATCGTCTTCTCTGTAATCAGATCATCTTTGGCTTTAAGAAATCATTTGAAACCCAAAAGAGTTTAGCCTTGTGCGAACCCTGAGAGGAGGACTCTCGCCTTTTATTTCTCGATCTCAACTCATCGTTGAGCTCATAAGATCTCTGTTCCGTTTTAAACCAAACCGTGCTCTGTTTTTGGCTTCACAAAACAGAGTCTTCTTCCTCATAATCTCTGTTTTAAGCTTCCCTTCTACTCTCTCTTTTAAATTACTTCCGCTCCCTCTATCAGTTGGTATCAGAGACAAAACGTTTCTGAAAAGTTGAAATCTCGACCATGCCACCAAAGAAAGACGACGAGATCGCCGCCGCAAATTGGGCTGAACTGCGAGCCGCCCTATCCACCCTCCTTGCGTTGCAGGAGACGATGCAGTCCAACATTCAAACCTCCATTCAAGCCTCGATACGTGAACTTGGAGAAACTCTGACTCAACACTTACAACCACGACAACAGGCCGGAGACCAAAGAAACGAGATCGCAGAAGTGAACCCGTTTGCTCCTGATGTCAATCGCGAGTTGATCGTAAGGAGACCAGATCAGCGTGATTCACGATGGGAAGCTGGTTTCAAGGTTGATATTCCCGAATTCAGCGGAGGACTGCGAGGTGATACCTTGTTAGATTGGTTGGTCGCCGTAGAAGAGGTCCTGGATTTTAAACAAGTACCAAACAATCGTCGTGTACCTCTCGTAGCCACAAAATTTCGCGGGCACGCAGCATCTTGGTGGCAGCAACTAAAAGCCTCTCGCAATCGCGACAATAAAGCACCAATCGACTCTTGGGAAAAATTGAAGAAGAAGTTGAGGCAAACTTTCTTACCTCACAATTACGACCGCACCATGTACACGCGGCTTCAAAATTTGAAACAAGGGATGCGTTCTGTAGATGAATATGCTGAGGAGTTTTATGTCCTACTCACTAGGAATGAAATCAATGACAATGAGGTGCAGCTCGTGTCTCGTTTCATCGGTGGGTTGCGAAGTCAACTCCAGAATTCACTAGCTCAATTCGATCCAACCTCCATAGCCGAAGCTCATCGTCGAGCAGCCTCTTTTGAACAACAACAACGCTCCGGAAATTGGTCCTCTACCTCCAATCGTGGACGGGTTCAAGAGATGAATTCTCCCAAATCGGAGACTGCAACAAAAGAGAATACGGATACCGCTACGCCAAAACAAACAGAGGATCCAGCCTTGCGCCGTTCCAGTCGCAATGCCCTGCGGTGTTTTAATTGTGGTGAATCAGGACACAGGCAGACCGCATGCCCACAACAGACAAGACGCGGCCTCCTTGTTGATGAACAACCCAACAATGATGAGCCACTGTATGACTCTGAAGAAGAAGATCGGAGTAACAATGACACTGTGTTACACCATACACATGGTGATAATGGACCATTGTTGTTAGTAGGACGTACTTGTCTCATTCCAGAAGCAAAAACAGAGTCTTGGTTACGGACTAACATTTTTCGCTCCACTTGCACCATCAAAGGACGACTCTGTACCGCTATTTGCAGCTTCATCATAGACTCCGGCAGCTCGCGCAACGTCATAGCGGAAGAAGCAGTTCGAAAATTAGGCCTCCCGGTTGAAGCACATCCTGCTCCTTACAATCTTGGTTGGCTTAGTGACAAAGTGAATATGCGTGTCACTCATCGCTCTATGGTGCCTTTCTCCATAGGACCGTACTACAAGGACCGCATGTATTGCGATATCGCTCCTATTGATGTTTGCCACTTATTGTTAGGAAGACCTTGGGAATACGACCGCAAGATCACTCACGACGGGTTGAAAAACACATATCGGTTCGTGTGGGAAACTCACCAAATCTTACTCATGCCATCACGAGAACCAGTAGCAGCTGAACCTCCTCCCACGCGATCAGTCCAAAGCCGTTTGTCTTTCCCTCCAAAAATTACCGACGCAACACAAGCTCATACACCACGATCAGTCCATAGCCGTTTAACTTTTCCAGAAACGGCTCCCGAGTCGACACTCCTCTGTTCTTACTCCATGTTTGATCAAGAATTTCGTAAAGAGGGCATGGCTTATGCACTCTTACTTGCGGGTACAAAGGAGCAACGACCAACGGTGTTGTCACCACAATTTGAGCAGATCCTTCGGGAATTTACGGATGTGTTTCCAAGTGAGTTACCACCAGGGCTTCCTCCACTTCGCGACATTCAACACCAGATCGATCTCATCCCGGGGGCCACACTCCCGAACCGTCCTCATTATCGAATGAGTCCACTTGAACATGAAGAGCTACGACGCCAGGTAGAAGAGTTACTCCATAAAGGCTATATTAGGGAAAGTCTAAGTCCATGTGCTGTTCCCGCGCTCTTAATTCCAAAGAAGGATGGTTCTTGGCGAATGTGTGTGGATAGCCGAGCCATCAATAAAATCACAACTCGCTACCGTTTTCCGATTCCGCGCCTTGATGACCTACTGGACCAAATTGGACAAGCGACTATTTTCACCAAGATTGATCTCAAGAGCGGCTACCATCAAATTCGTATTAACCCGGGTGACGAATGGAAGACAGCATTTAAAACCCGAGAAGGACTTTTTGAATGGCTAGTAATGCCTTTTGGGTTATCTAATGCTCCAAGTACATTCATGAGGGTCATGAATCAAGCCTTGCGGCCTTTCATTGGCAAGTTCGTAGTGGTCTATTTCGATGACATTCTCATTTTTAGCTCTTCGGCGGACGCACATGCTGATCATTTGCGTGAGGTTCTCCAAGTCTTGCGCAAAGAGAAACTGTTCGCGGGAAAACAAAAATGTGAGTTCGGTGCTTCCGAAGTTTTATTCCTCGGTTATGTCATCTCAGACAAGGGTCTATCGGTTGATAAATCAAAGATCGAAGCAGTCCGGTCTTGGCCCACGCCAAGTACAGTGACTGAAGTCCGGAGTTTCCATGGTCTCGCATCTTTTTATCGTCGTTTCATAAGTCACTTTAGCTCTATAATGGCCCCCATAACAAGTTGTATGAAGACGGGTGCCTTCACTTGGACCAAAGAAGCAAACTCGTCATTTGAACTCATCAAGGAGAAGCTGACAACAGCTCCGATTTTAATACTACCAGATTTTGCAACCACCTTTGAACTCCATTGCGATGCTTCTAAACTCGGGATTGGAGCTGTCCTAAGTCAACACGAACGTCCGGTAGCATACTATAGTGAAAAGCTTGCTGGAGCTAGAAGTCGCTATAGTACCTATGACATCGAATTCTACGCCATTGTTCAGGCCATTAAACATTGGAGGCACTACCTTGTACATCGTGATTTTATTCTGTTTACCGATCATGATGCACTACGCCATCTAGATAGTCAAGCCAATGTCTCTGCCCGACATGCAACTTGGATAGCGTTCTTGCAACAATTCACTTTCTCAATCCGTCATCATTCCGGCAAGTTAAACCGTGTAGCCGATGCCTTGAGTAGACGTCACGGACTGTTAACAACAATGCATACTACGGTGCCTGGTTTTTCTACTTTCGCTGAGCTATACGAATCTGATCCTTTCTTTGCTCGTATCCTCTCCGATGTCGAGCAAAACCTCACTTCCGAATACACGTTGCAAGACGGCTTTCTCTTCAAAGGGCTGCGTATTTGTGTTCCTACGTGTAGTCTAAGGTTACAAATAATTCGTGAGCTTCATTGTGAGGGTCACGTCGGCCGAGACCGCACCTTGCATTTGGTCACCACGTCGTACTTTTGGCCATCCCTACGCAAAGATGTAGAGCGCTTTGTGGAAAGGTGTCGGGTTTGCCAACAGGGCAAGGGGAAAGCTTCCAATGCGGGACTGTATTTACCACTACCAATTCCTACACAACCATGGACGGATGTTAGCATGGATTTTGTTTTGGGCCTCCCACGTACTCAGCGTGGTCACGATTCCATTTTTGTGGTGGTGGATCGTTTTTCAAAAATGGCTCACTTCATTCCCTGCAAAAAGACTACGGATGCGGTGACGGTGGCTGTGCTTTTTTTCCGGGAGATTTATCGACTTCATGGTCTTCCGTCTTCTATAGTTTCAGACCGAGATACACGTTTCTTAAGTCACTTTTGGAGATCTTTATGGAAGCTTCTCGGCACAAGTCTTGACATGAGCACGGCGTATCACCCACAAACGGATGGCCAAACAGAGGTCACCAACCGCTCATTGGGCAACTTGCTACGCTGTTTAGTGGGAGACAACATTAAAAGCTGGGATGGCAAGTTGTGTCAAGCGGAGTTTGCTCACAACCACGCCCTTAACCGAAGTCTCGGTTTTTCTCCTTTCCGTGTGGTTTACGGCTTGGTTCCACGCGGGCCACTGGATTTGTCTACATTACCGGATAAGGCTCGTTTTCACGGTCATGCTATTGATTTTGTTAGTGACTTGCAACTGGTTCATCAACAAGCTCATGCGAATTTGGAGGTTTCCACGGCCAAATACAAGAGTGCCGCAGACACTAAGCGACGTGAAGTTTTATTTGAGCCAGGAGACATGGTTTGGGTCATCCTCACTAAAGACCGTCTTCCACTCCGAGAGTATAACAAGCTGAAGTCCAAGAAGATTGGTCCCGTAGAGGTGCTTGAACGCATTAATTCCAATGCGTACCGCGTTCGTCTACCATCTCACATGAACACGTCCAACGTCTTCAATGTGAAGCATCTCATTCCTTTCCACGGGGACAATGACGCGCCGGATTCGTGGCCGAATCCTCTCCCACCTGGGGAGACCTGATGCAGCGCATCTTCACTACTTGTTGGGCCTCGTTAACGTATCTCGTGCCCATCAAGATATTCAGTTGTAACAAGATCATTTCCTTAGTTTTTGAGACATTATCACTTCGTTTACGTTTTGTTATCATAGGATATTCTTAATATCTTTTAGGATTAGGATTAGTTTTATTTGCTTTTATCTCACGACTCTATATAAAGAGATCGTCTTCTCTGTAATCAGATCATCTTTGGCTTTAAGAAATCATTTGAAACCCAAAAGAGTTTAGCCTTGTGCGAACCCTGAGAGGAGGACTCTCGCCTTTTATTTCTCGATCTCAACTCATCGTTGAGCTCATAAGATCTCTGTTCCGTTTTAAACCAAACCGTGCTCTGTTTTTGGCTTCACAAAACAGAGTCTTCTTCCTCATAATCTCTGTTTTAAGCTTCCCTTCTACTCTCTCTTTTAAATTACTTCCGCTCCCTCTATCAAAAGTGTTGGCAACTTTTGAGCTTACCATATAGAGCATCTCCTTTGTCAACATGTTCAAACTCTGAAAGAGGCATTACAATGGACTGTAACCTAACTCTCCCACCACGTTTATTCTGCAATTCATGTAAAAAAGACTAAAACATGTTAGAGAACCTAATAAGCTCCAATTAGGGAAACAAATGAAAATAGTTTTCATAGGACCTGATACTCCATTAACTTCTCAGCGTGCTCTCTTTCTTCCACGCTTGATTCCTTAAAGAACCTGATTCCATGAAACCAACAATTAACTATGGATAAACAAATAAATCCGAAACTATCAACAATCAAACACTCTTGAATAAGCAGAGACTCACTTGGCAAGACCTTTAAGCGCAACGTTATCCCGATCGAAGTACGCATACATAGCGTGATACACATACGAAACATTGTATTCCACACTGCAACCAAAATCCATTGAAGAATTTCAGAATCCACAAGATAATAAACTATAAGCATGAATCTACATGAGGTTCCAAGTACCAAATCCTATAGCTAATCAACCAGATTACAATACCGAATCTAAGAGAGAGTGAGGTGAGAAAGAATAGCCTACTTGATCTGCTCGTTAATGGCGGCTTCGCACTCGTCTGAGTACTTTTGTCGAGCGAGTGAGAGATGAGAGCTGGTTGGGACGAGATCGAGCTCCTTTTTCACTTCCTTAAACGGCTCAAAGACGACGCCGCTTAGCGCGTCGGTGGTTGAGCTCTTAGATGCGCGAACAGAGAAAGATAAGTTTCCAGATTTTCCAGAAGAAACTCGAAGATTCCACGAAATGGAAGATAACAAAGGAGACACATCCTTCTTCACGCCGTGAAAATTCACCAGCGAGAGAGCTGAAGAAGAAGATGAAGAGACAGTCTTGAGAAGCATTTTGACTCGTTTAGATTGGTTGGAAAGTTTTCTTCGCGAGAAAATTGGAGAAGACGAATGGATTTTGTCTTTGTGAGAAATAATGAAACCGAGATTGTGATGTGTTGATGATGATGAGGCTGCGGATGAGAGACACGTGTACGTACAAGATTGAGAGATGGGTCAAGGCGCGTGGCAAGCTTGTGGTTCTACTGCGTAGCTGGAATTTTGTTTATCCTCATCGATCGATATCCGTGAAATTTCTTGGACATTTGTTTTTATATGATGAAAAATTAAAATTGACATGTTTCATTAATTACTTAATTTAGTAAGTAATCATTTATTCGATTTAATATAATCTCTTGTGATTTGTGATTTGTGAATAAAAAACATCAACCATAGATACGTTAACAGAACAACTAAAATTTAATATCCCTTAAAATAATAAGAAAATAGTGCATTAGGGGAAAATCTTTAATTAGTTCTATGCAATTTAAATTAGAACAAACAAAAACAAACAATTAATTGGTAAATATGATTGGCACATTCGCCAAATTGAAGATTCCGTTTTAAAGGAGAGAACAAAAAATATAGCATATACAGTACACTCAAAAACCTATATAACAACATATTAACCAATCATAATCATTACAAAAAAAAACCAACCCAAATTTTGTTGTTAATTAGTAACAATAATCAAGTTCTTCTAACAGTTCATCGAAACATGCTAACTCTATAAAAGCAGATAAAGTGGGCAACACTTCTCATTATCTCTTAGAACAATTATTGATAAACAACAAGTTTTTCTTATTTCCATATACCTTTAACATAAGAATAAGTCAATAAGATGGCAAGCATTGCTTTTGCGTGTAAGGCTTTGTGTGTGTCTCTCTTGTTCATCGTTGTTGCAAGTCGTCCCACCGGAAGACCAAAAGTTTTCAATGTCCAACGCCATGGTTCTAAACCGGACGGCAAAACGGATAACGCCAATGTATGTACATGTGAACTTTCCTAATTCAATTATTACCGCAAACGAAATGAACTTATGTCCTATACAAACTTAGGCATTTACAAGTGTATGGAGCCGTGCATGCAGAAGGGAAAGTGGAAGAAGTAAAATCTATGTACCCAAGGGAACATTCTACCTTGGTGGTGTAGAGTTCGTGGGTCCATGCAAAAATCCTATTGAATTCATCATCGATGGTACTTTATTGGCTCCTGCGAATCCTAGCGACATTAAGCAAGACACATGGATCAACTTTAGGTACATCAACAATCTCTCTATCTCCGGTTCCGGTACACTTGACGGCCAAGGGAAACAATCTTGGCCACTAAATGACTGCCACAAAAACCCCAGTTGTCCTAAACTAGCTATGGTAACATTTCTTAACCTTTTTCAATTATTGCTTCATTTTAAAAGATATAATTATTATTTACATTTAAAGCTATCGAGTCTTTTAATATACTTGAATTATTTTCTTAAGACTATGGGATTTGCATTCGTGAACAACTCAAATATCAAAGACATAACATCACTCAACAGCAAAATGGGACACTTTAACTTCTTCTCCGTCCATCACTTTAACATTACTGGCGTCACTATAGCAGCTCCCGGCGATAGTCCCAACACCGACGGTATCAAGATGGGTTCATGTAGTAACATTCACATCTCCAACACAAACATTGGTACCGGAGACGATTGTATCGCCATTCTCTCTGGAACCACTAACCTCGATATCTCTAACGTTAAGTGTGGTCCCGGACATGGGATTAGTGTCGGAAGCTTAGGGAAGAACAAAGACGAGAAAGACGTGAAGGACTTAACGGTAAGAGACATCGTGTTCAACGGCACAAGCGATGGTATTCGGATCAAGACTTGGGAATCTTCAGCATCGAAGATCCTCGTTTCGAACTTCGTATACGAGAATATTCAGATGATTGACGTTGGAAAGCCAATCAACATCGATCAGAAATATTGTCCTCACCCACCTTGTGAACATGAGAAAAAGGTTAACTTTCTATGCAAAAGATCAGCTTCTTTTGCTTTTCTTTAATCACAAGCTAGAACAAAACAAAACAAAAAAAGCCTAACTTGTGTTTCTGTTTTTTTAGGGAGAGTCTCACGTTCAAATCCAAGACCTTAAGTTAAAGAACATATATGGAACGTCGAAGAACAAAGTGGCAGTGAATCTGCAATGTAGCAAAAGCTTTCCGTGCAAGAATGTGGAGCTAATTGACATTAACATAAAGCATAATGGACTCGAAGCTGGTTCTTCCACTGCTGTGTGCGAGAATGTTGACGGTTCTGTACGCGGTAAAATGGTTCCCCAACATTGTTTGAATTGATTCGACGGTCCATCAAAACAATAACGATGTGTTATATATGATATTTTCATTTATGAATAAATTGTCTAATTTATTGGTGTATATATGGATCAAGTTTTATATTTAACCGAAATTCCAAACCGAATCGTAAATATGTATATATGCTTTCGATAATATAACATACATAATCTAAAATAAACTTCATTTTCTGCGAATCGAATTTACAACATAGTGTAGAAACATGGATTAACAATGGACCAAAGAAATTCAATCCCATTGGTTTACATAATCTCTATTCATTAAATTCGGTTCAGATGAAGAAGCTAAATTGAACCAGACTCTGGTTCGGTTTTGAGTGGCCGTTTCAGAGTCGAGAAGGCACAAATATGAGCCCATAGTTGATAACATCCAGGCTTCAAATCTAGCCCAAATAATTTAATAGCAAAAAATATACGAAAAGTTATATGGCTTATTCGTAAGAAGTACAAAGTTTAGGGGTATAATAGGAATTTCGGTTAAATCAACGGCGGATGTGAAATCAACAACAGCGACGACTGCAACCGTGCCGAGCACTCATCTCTTCTTCTCTCTCAGTCTCTCTCGCCATCTCCGTGAAGATCCTCGGACATGGTTATGAGATCGTAAGAGATAAATCTTGAAAAAAAAAACTGAAACTGGAAATCGAAAAGCTAGGAGGGAAGAGAAATGTCGGGGAAACTTTGGATTCCGAGATTTATTCTCATCACTCTAGTGCTTAGCAGCTTCCGAGTTAACTCTCAATGTGAATTCAGTTTCACTGGACGCAACAAGGTCTTTGATTTCAATTTAGCTTCTTCGATTCGAAATTTCCCTCACGGTGTCCTCAGCGAAGATGGGTACTTTCGCTTTTTCCTTTATTGCCCAGATTCCATTTCTTATATGCTTGAATTTCGATTTGAATTTCAATTTCTGTAGATAGTTGCATTGAAATGTTTGTTTTGCTCTGTCTATGTTACTTCATTTGTGTTGAGCTTATACTAAAAAGTAAAAGTAATTGGATAATCAGGTTTTATAGAGTGGAAGCGAACAGTACCGTGTTATGGTTTCAGGTTGTCTTCTACATCAGGTTACACTTTGTTTCTGTATATTTCTCTGTTACACTGATCGTGACATTAAGGTGGTTCTGATTTGAAGATGTATAACTGCTTGCTAGTTATAGTGCCCTTTATGTTTTACACTAGACCATTGTGATTTATGATTTTTACTTTTTTTTGTAAACCGTCTTGTGGAGCAGCTTTGTGATGTGCTGATTTTCAATCATGATCCTCCTCGATGTGTTGGTTGTGAAGTAAGATTTTTTGGCCACTCTTATTGTCTTGATCTATCCTTCAACAGAAAAAAAGTTTCTATTTTAACTTTGAGAATCTCAAATCAGTCTCTGTGACTTTGTTTTTCTTCATTTAGGATTGCGGAGGTCCATCACACTGTGGAACATCATGTAGTGCACTTGTGTCAGAAAATGTAAGAGGTATAGAAAATCTCAATCTGACAACATGTAATCGTAGTGTAGTTTATGTAGCTCTGTAGAAAAAATGATGAGGTGTTGCACGATGCTTTTGAGCTAATAAAGGATTAAACCATCTTAAAAATCTATTCATTTGCAGGGTATGATGTATGCACTTCTCTAGGGCATGCCTCAAGCACAAAAGTTGATATTATTGGTAAGTCTTAAAATACGTTTATGGGAATATAGAGACTATTCTGCTCTAGCCCCTTGTAATGATAGACTCTTGGCACTATGTGCTTTCTAAATTGGGACAAAGCTAAATTGTTGAAGTCTGTGTTCTCCCAACATTTTATGCAATAATAATGTGGCAATGCTGAGAAATTTTATGTTTTGAATATGGTAGATAAAGAGGATCCTGGCAAAGGTGTCATCGTTAAAATGTCTGGTGGGGATAGGAACCAAAATTGCTCACTTTCAGTTTCTGTTATTTGCCAGAAAAATAAAGTTGATGTAAGGATTTGTATATCAGACATGCTATTTAATTTTATAAATTGAAGTTGGTTTTAGCAGTTAGTAGAACATCATTCACCATTTTTTCTCAGGGACCACTCACTCTGGCGAAATCTGGTACATGTCATTATGTGAGTGTCCAGTAACTCATCTATTGCTCTTTTTCCTAAAGACTCTAGCTTTCAAATTACCATGTCTCATTGTTTATGTTGTGTAGTTTTTAAGTTTTAAATTTGAAAAACGCTTTACCGCTCTTACTGCATTTGGAGTAGGAAACAAATGGAACTACTTTTGCTCTTAGAATCTTGAAAAACTGATTACTGCACTTTAGTTCTTGTTAGCATCTCAATATCTTTCTCATTCATTTGACTTAAATTGGACATCTTGTTTCACTGATAGGCTACTCAGCTGCGACATCCCTCCGGTTGTGCAGCAGCTATCTCTGGCCATAGCAGTGGATGGGGCTGGTTTAGTACCTTACTAATCATGTGAGCAAATTGTTCTTTTTTGTACGAGGCGATTGGAATATGTTTAGATGTCGTGGAAATCAAATATGAAATGTTCTGATCTTTTTCAGTATCTTGTGCCTGTTTGGAGCTTATCTGCTGGGTGGTGCAGTATATCGGTATTTCTCCCTTGGAATTCGTGGCATAGATGTATGTTTCACTAACTTCCTTTATATATGCAAGGTTTTCTCATGTACTGATTCTATCACAACTGAAATGTACACACCCTGTTTTATAGGTAATCCCGAACGTGGATTACTGGGCCACTGTACCTCACAGCGTACAGGTATTGTTCTGTATTTCTATATCCTCTTCTGGTGGATTGGTGTCTAAGAATTAAATTTAATGGGCTTACTTTTACTCTTCATCTTGCAGAGCTGTTTTGGCTCACTATTTTCGAGATTCGGGGGGTCTAGTCGTGGTCAACGAACCTCATATTCTCAGGTCAACTTCTGAGCAGACACAGCATATTCTCTGATCCATCGTCTGGAGACAATTCCCCGATCTTGCCTTGGCTCGTTCAACAAATGTGAAACGCCGCTAGATTGTACTATTTTGTCCAAAATATGACTGCAAGTTATAAGGTGCCTCTCCTTTTCATCTTGTTATGTCATAGATCCCTCTAGAAACAGAAGACTCTTGTTCATTTGATAGAAACAATGCTAGCCATTGCAATCTGCGGCTTTTGCATCTCCAGTGTTTGCTCTTTAGAAATTGTTGTCTCGGTTTCTTGAGGCTGATTTTTAAGAAATGTTAACTGCTGTGTTGATGTTTTAGACAATTGTTATTTCGACAATATTCTTGCATGCTAAATAAAGCTTTTGTATTGGATCTCCTTTTTCTTTCTGACATATTCTGATATGGCGAATGATCAGTGTTGAGTATAGAGATGTTGCGCTGGACCAAAAATCCGCAAAACGGATTGTTAGATTAGGGATCGTCGCTAAATTTGAGCCGATTTAGCTGAGCCAAACCGGTCAAACATGTCTTTTTTCTTTTTTTGAGACGCTGAAACGGATTGGTCTGCTGGGTCTGACATGTTTTGGAGTAGCCTTTCTAGAGCCGGTTCTGCTAGGACTAGACCGGTCCAGTCGGCAGTCGCCATAACATCTTTGCCAATGACGCTTCTTAAAAGAGCATCTCTTTGTACAATTTTGAGAATTGTAGCATTTAGAGCAACATTGGCTTAGTGTTTTCTTATGTTCGACGAAGAGTGTGTACAAAGAAGAACAGTGAGAGCCAACTACTTGAGCTTGAAAGCCCAACAAATTCCCAACTAATTCCACTCTTCATTTCATATTGTACCCTCTGCCAATAATTACTAGGATTTTGTTTCATCTCACATTGTTCAGTCTCTATAATTAATTTTAGTAAATGTTAACCATGGATTTTGCTCTATATTGTTTTCTAAGTAACAGCAAAAATCCATTGGACAAAAGTGAAGACAATGATGTTTCATCTTTACAAGTTGATCAAATGTACGAAAACACCTCAAGGACACTTAGCTTCGAAGCCAAGTGAACTTATATTCCTCACCTCCATCAATCATCACCTCAAATTTTCCTATAGGAGCTACAAATTAAATGCCTAAGAAACTAATAATTTTTGTTCTATTTCGACAAATATAGAAGAGTATAAAAAGACAAAGGAAGCTAATGATTTAATCATAACCATCTATCTAGCTTGGATTTAATCAAAAACAAAACTAACTAGATGTAGTCTAATAATAGTGAACTAGGATTGTTTTTGTCTTAAAATAAGTATAAAATTACATGATTACTTTAAAACAAACAGAGATATACATTTTTGCTGAAAACACGAATGTATGAAATGCTATTAAATACCAATTAATTTGTCTTATAGTACAATAAATGGATTAAATCTTACGAAAAAAATCATTACTTAGTAGATAACCACTATGTTGCGTCAACATTTACCTACTCATCACCCTTACGTATAATTATTTTGCTAATTCACAAAATTTTCATCACCTAATATAATCACAACCATATTATAAATTGTTTAATCATTGTACAATTCACATCTTTAGTAATTCTTGAAGCAATGCCAAAATAAGTTCTTTTGGCTTCCTCTTCCCACATCTTATTTGGTTGAGGAGAATGAGATCATCAAGAACCCAAAGTGTTCATTTCTTAATTTTATCTTCTCTTTTCCTAATTATATAAAATTTGAACACTGAAATCACATTTGTAACACTCATTCTCAATCCTAAACATGAAACCTTCATCACCAATTTCACTCGCTACTTCTTCAATTGCTAGAAAAACTCGTCTTTCACCTTATCTCTTCACACTCTTAGCTTTTATCCTCTTCGTCTCTGTCCTCTATGGTGAAGATTTCATGTGCATATTTGGACAGCTCGAGCCTAACTTTGTCCTCCCGCCTTCTCGAACAACCGGTAAAGTTTTGTTTATCCACTCAACATTTGTTTGAATTCTCTCGTTGACAATGAGGAATTGAGATTGTGTTTTATTTTGAATTTCTTGGATTCTTAAGAGAAGAACAAGAAGTCAGAGAAGCTTGCGTTTTCTATTGGTAAAACAGAAGAAAGTTGTGACGTTTTCAGCGGGAAGTGGGTGAGAGATGAAGTCTCCCGACCACCGTACGAAGAATGGGAGTGTCCGTACATTCAACCTCAGCTTACGTGTCAAGAACACGGCCGTCCCGACAAAGATTACCAATTCTGGCGGTGGCAACCCAATCATTGCGATCTTCCCTCGTAAGCTCTCTAAACACTCTGTTTCTCTGTTTCATGGATTACTCTGTTTTCTCTGTTTCATGTGTTACTCTGTTTTCTCTGTTTCAAAGGTTCAACGCGTCGCTGATGCTGGAGACATTGAGAGGGAAGAGGATGATGTATGTAGGAGACTCATTAAACCGTGGAATGTTTGTATCGATGATTTGTCTTCTTCATCGTCTTATCCCTGAAGATCAGAAATCAATTAAAACCAATGGTTCCCTCACTGTCTTCACTGCCAAGGTAACTCTATCTACTAAAACTTATTCACATCACTCTTTTTGGGGTCTCTGTATTTCAAAATTTCACCTTTTATTAGAGCTTATTATCTCAATGTGCAGGAGTATAACGCGACGATAGAGTTCTATTGGGCACCGTTTCTTCTAGAATCGAATTCAGACGATGCAATTGTCCATAGAATATCGGATAGGGTTGTGAGAAAAGGATCAATTAACAAACATGGTCGTCACTGGAAAGGCGTCGATATAATCATATTCAACACTTATCTATGGTGGATGACTGGATTGAAGATGAACATCTTGTAACCATTCTTTAAAACTTTAAATCAAAACAATTCATTCTATACATAGCATAGCAATCATATTAGAGTGGTTTCTGATATTGTTTCGTGGGGGTATATATAGGCAAGGATCGTTTGCCGATAAAGAGAAGAATATCGTGGAGGTTTCGACTGAAGATGCATACCGGATGGGTATGAAGAGTATGATGAGATGGGTGAAGAACAATATGGATCGTAAGAAAACTAGGGTTTTCTTCACAAGCATGTCTCCAACTCATGCCAAGTTAGTGACTCTGATATCGAGCAATATAGCCCATAGTTAGATACATTAGATTGATAAGCCACTCTTGTTTCATTTATAAAACATAGGGACACCATAAACTGCTTAAAGTTTACTTACTATATAGGCAAATTGATTGTTACTTTCTTAGCAAGAAACCTATAACTGTTTCAGGGGCATAGATTGGGGAGGTGAACCGGGTCAGAATTGCTATAATCAGACAACACTAATAGAAGATCCGAGCTATTGGGGATCAGATTGTCGGAAAAGTATAATGAAAGTGATTGGAGAAGTGTTTGGAAGATCGAAAACACCAATAACGTTACTGAACATAACGCAGATGTCGAATTATCGGAAAGATGCGCATACGTCGATATACAAGAAGCAGTGGAGTCCACTTACAGCGGAGCAGCTGGAGAATCCAACGAGCTATGCGGATTGTGTACATTGGTGCTTGCCTGGGCTTCAAGATACTTGGAATGAGCTTCTCTTTGCTAAACTTTTCTACCCTTAAGAGAAGAGAACATCTTTTTGGTTTTAGATTTTGGAAAGAGATATTGTCGAGAAATTGTAAAATGTAGTCATTGAATTGATATTGTCTCGTTTTTGGTTATAAGACAAAAGGATTTGACAAATCAAGAATGATAAGTTGAATTTTACAACATTCATATTAGCGGCAATGATCCTCCTCTCAGCCGGGAATGAACAGTCCCGCCGCTATGATCACTGTAACGTCGATCGAGAAGAAGCTCAGAACGAACGACTTCGAGATCTAAAGCTTGGAATTCAAGGAAACGAAGAAAATATTAACTAAGAGCCCTAGGCTACTATTTATGAACGAAACTCGTGTTCCGGTGTTCAGATATTCCGATGGGCCTTTATTGGGCTCATAATATCGATCCATAATGACTTGTTAGACCGACTTAACTTGATACTGTAGTAGCCTCGTAGGGAAGGAGGTATCATCAGACTCAATTACTTAAGCGAAATTTTCGAGTTATCTTATTCGTCATTTGTATATGCACTTCTGCAGAGTTGTCTGATCTTCTATGAGTAATGATGTTTATTATATACTATATATAAGAAAAAAACAATACCTTATTCCAAATAAACACAATGTATATATTGTGGTTTGTTTTATTTCTGTTTTAAAAATATTTTTCTATGTTGTTTTCTTTCCTAAGTATAAACACTTTAGACACACAGAAACACATGAGTTTAATCGTCTTAAAACATGAAAGTAAGAAAATTCAATCATAACAAAAAGAAAAATTCAATTTGCACAACAACAAAAAAATGAAATAAAGAAAAATTCTAATCTCACATAATATAAAGATTGAAAATAATATATAAATAAAAAAGATTGAAAATAATGTTATAAAACCATGTATTTATGAACCTAATATAAACAAATAGTAAATCAACGCTTCTATTAATTTAAAAGCCGTAATCCATACTGTTCAATGAGTATATAGAAGATTTTATCCGCGTTGATGTTTTCAAGTTTCAACATTACACCACTGTCACACCGAAATGCTTCCAAACCTAAATTGTAGAAGTTAAAACCATTGACGAAAATATTTGTCCCCAATCAACTTTAGGGGAGGAGGCGGTGTTCTTCACGTTACATTGAATTTGGTTTGCCTTTTTCAGACACACTCATATGTATATATTGGATAAATCATCTATTTACAATTTATAGCAAACTTTATCTTATTTTAATTAGTTAAAGTGTTAGATAGCCCAGCTAAGACTATATATGAAAATATGAACTATTTCCTTTGCTTTTTAAAAGTATATATAAATTATCACAGATATATACGTTATCACAGTAGTACCCCTTTTTTTTGGGACAAAAAATAGTAGTACTTTATATGCAACATGCCACATTGGAATATACAAACCCCACAAAGCGTATCTCTCTGGATTGGTCAGAATTTTTCATATAATATGAAAATTCTTGTGGGTTTATAAAATGAATAAAAATGTGAAAGAAAATATAAATAAAATGATGATCCAAAATCGGGAAGACAGAAAAAAAATAAGAAAGGTGGGTGGGTTTAAATGTCATTATACAAACGACCAAAAAAGGAAAACATTAATAGCCTCCTTGCCAACTTGCATATCAACTTGCAATTCCTTCCTTCCACGACAATGTTTACATATATTTTTCGTACTCATTATCATAATAAATTACTAATAATCATTATATAATCAATTTGTTTTTTTTTCTTTAACCTTTTTATTTATGGAATATTTTTTAAAGGTGTCAAAGAAGAGTAGCGACTTTTATTTTTTTTCCTTGCAACTTGCATGCTTTGTTTTTTTTCTATAACAAGTTGGATTTTATTACACCCCAACTTGCATTTTACGTACGATCACATACATGAATGTCTATATATGTATTCAATTTTGAATTTGGTTTCACAAGTCTCGAAATCTTACTAGTTAATTCTAAAGTAACTAAACTCATTTTGCTTTTGGAAACTTTGAATGTCTTTTCATCTTGTTCATTGGAATATTTACATTTATCTAACTAGATAAAGTTAATTTAATTTTTTTTTTAATTTTACATTTTTATTCATGAGCTAATACATAGGACAAGGAAATCCGAGAAAGTAATAATTCTGACATTTGAATTATTGAAACGGTTCACGCATCCCAAACATGTAAATGGTACTAATTAAGAAATTATATCATTTTGGTGAATAAATAATTTTGATTTAATTTTCTAGTGAGTAAAAACAAAACATTTACGTATTAATGTAAAGTTGGTTGATTAAATGAAATCATTTGAAAATTCTAAGTTTCCAAATTAGGAAATTAAAGATATATTATATATACATATAATGATATATATATATTACATGTCACCATTTATTTTGGCCTAGCATTATATATGCCATAATTTTTTTTAAAAAGATGATATCACATAACTCAATACTCGAGTGATCACTAATTGATATTATTCCATCTTTGCTTCTTCTTTTAAATTAAGGAGTGAACGCTCTGATTATATAGCCGGTGATCAGTTTCATTTAAAAAACCAAGTGATTCTATTGTTTGTACATTTTAATAAATTGCAAATGATATATAGTTACATATAGTTAAAGTATTACTTTGTTCTTCTCTTAACATAAAGGAAAACGGATCATATCAATCGGCAACATGCAGGGTTATATTATGCAATGATTATATTAATATGTAACTATATGGGTATGTAATTATGCAATGATTATATTAATCAAATTTTTTTGTAATACATTATTATGTACGTTATCAAACACCTCAAATTAGACATGATATATAATCTCGGAAATATCGAATCAATATACTCCATGCATTAGCTGAATCATGATTAAGCATATATAATTAAGATACATATGTAAAGTAACGCTCAAGATGAAGATAATGAAAATAACTAAACAATCAATGTTTATATAAAGCCACGAGAACTATACAAGCGTTCAAGAAGAAATGGTTTTAAGGGTAAACCCAAAGTATCGTTGAGACATACATTTAACAGACCCTAAAAACCCTAACTTCGAAAAACCAAAACCATCTTGTTTTTCTAATTTTTTTTTTTTTTTTTAGTTTCGAAAATCGCCTACGATTGATTGTTAAATACTTAAATCTTAAAATCCAAAACCACCTCGAGAATCCCAAAAATAAAAGATAAATTTTGAAAGAGAGAAAATAGAAAATATAATAAAAATAAAAAGATTGAAAAAAATGTAATTACGAGAATTTAGACGTGTTCTCGGCGAGTTTAGCCAGCGATTGCAAGTTGCACCGTACAATGGTATCCGCGAAGCTACAAGTCTCTTCCTTGTCGTTACCCGCCGGTACGTCAACAACGTATGACTCGACGACACGTGTCCTCTTCTTACCGTCGTCGGACGACTCGGACTCATGCACCGTCGTCACCGACTTGTAGTTCATAAGTCTGTGGTCCCCACCAACGACGCTGAAACTGATGACATGGTGTTCATCGTCCATGATCTCAAGCCGCTCTAAGCTAAACGCCGCAGGGAGACCCGAGACGACTCGGACCTCCCTCACCGACCCAATCTCTCGACCGTCTCCGATAGCCACGTGGCAGCTTTTCACGAAGTGTTTGTACGCTTGAGGGTGTTCGAAGCGGCTTAGGATCGACCAGACGGCGGAAGCCGGAGCCTCCACGTCTTGCACCACGACGGAGAAGCACTGAGAAGGACCAACCACGTGCGTGTGAGAAAGCTCCACGTGCTCCGGTACATCAGCCATCCCGCGCGTGAGGCTCACTTTTTGAACCTGTTTGTTGTGGTGGTGGTGATAGTTTCTTACGGTGGCGTTGGCTGCTTCTGCGGCGGTGGAGGATCTCTGAAACTGTATCGACGATGGCATTTTTAAAGCAAATCTTTTTTCGATATCTCCTTTAATATTCTTGGCTCTCTCTAAGAAAACAAATGGGTTTCTTCGTGAGGTTGTAATGTTGTATTAATGAGAGATATTTACATGTATATATCTTAACTATATTAGGACAGATATTTTATATATATAAATGCAAGTATGTGGATTAGGAAAGAGAGAGTTAGTTTGTGTGGGTTCTTCGGTTGTCCACTTGGAATTTGTTTGGAGTTTGTATCTCTCTTCGCATAAGAAACGTCTCTCTCTCTCTCTTTATATCAAGGACCGGCCCCGTTCCCCACGAAATTCTACGGACTGGTCTCGAGATAATAACCGGTAATTAAATTTGAATTTTGTTTATACTTGCTTTTCTACTGAGGCTGTCAAATTGTCAATGCTGCTATATATTTCACCAGTTCTGTCCTAAGTTTATTACTCCATCCGTTTTATAATAGATGATGTTTTACATAAAAACACACACTTTAAAAATTTTAATTTTGTAAAAAAACTATCATTTAATATTTAATTTTAGAAAATTTAACCAATGATATAAAAATCTGCAGAATATATATAAAAGAGCATAAAAGATCAAATGTATTTAAAGTTTCATACAAATTTGTAAAACGTCCTATATTTTGAAAAAGAAAAAATTTCTAAAACATCATATATTTTGAAACAGACTGAGTAGTTGTTATCACAATGAATGAGCATGTAGACGTAACCACAAATTATTGGATAACCACACAAGCATTACCAGAATTAGAATGGACGTTTTTATGTTTTACTAGACTTAATTAGTTTTAAATTTTCAGATTTTCTGACTTATTTGTAATTTACCTAACTATTGCTTCAATCACTCAGCCCAAACACTCTTGAAAGAAAGTTTAGAAAATGAAATCAGTATCATTTAAGATACCAAGAAAAAAATTCTAACTCATCTCTATCTCACCGATTATCTCACAATTTAGAATATAAATTTTTTTTGAACATTATTTATGAGGTTTTGCATAGAATTTTAATCTTCTACTGTGTCTCTCGACTATATATCAATATAGCTAACTCTAAAACGTTATTAAACATTTTAAGAACATGATCACTATGGGTCGAGTTGGTTAAGCTATATATATATATATATATATATATATATATTGGTTAAGAGGTATACTTAATTTATGCATAGGTTTGCAAAAACTCTTGAAACAAATTGGTTGGGAGGGCCGACCTTTGTATTTGTGATGGCCGATCTATTTTCAGTTGGTACTATTCTTGGATGTGTTTTTGGTAGATTTTGAATTTCGTTGGAACCTTCTGACTAGGGTAAAATTTCAAATATAACTACAGAACTTTCAATATTCCAAGTTGGTGAAGATATCATGTCATGGGTCCAGCATAATTATCTTTCCTCATCTTGTAATCAACTTGAGCCTTTCGACGATACAAAAAAAGTAATAATCAAACAGAATATTAGACGAGTTAGAAGAAAACCAAACTAAGCAGTTGCTAAAAGTAACCAACGTAAAGTCAGGGAAATTTTCGAATTGGACAATATTTCTTGGGTGTGTTTTCTTCCACAAACGTATATTCAAATCATATGAATATAGTGGACTCTTGGATTTGAGTGGTGGGCATAATAACAAAACACAATTGGGAAAAATAATAAAGGGTTATTTAATGCATTAGTTTTTCCAACAACTATACAACTATACATATTCCCAAGTAGCCCTAGTTGTTAAGATTAATACGAATAAGCGAGCAATTTGCAGTAGTAATTATATCTGACATTTTATAGAATAAGAAGAAAAAAAGTTACAACTTGCAATATTTTGCACCATCCTCGATGTAAAGATTGCTCATCTTATAAGCTTTCGGGTTAGGTGAATAATCACTCACCAATATTTTACACACACATTACTGAACACAGATGTGGAAAATGTATTTTTTTTTTAATATTCCTTCCGTTTCATAATATAAGTCGTTTTAGTTTTAAACACGCAGATTAAGAAGATCTACTTTTAAAAAGTTTAGCCAATCATAAAAAAGACTGTATAATATAAATAATTATAAAATATTAAAGTAATATATAAAGTGCATAGAAACTTGAAAACGACTTATATTATGAAACAAAATTTTTTCTCCAAAACGACTTATATTATGAAACGGAGGGAGTATATATTATCGAATTAAACGACTTGATTGTAGAAATTTTCTTTTCACCGTAAAATCATATTCTACATGATGGTGTTAATGGTGTTAAGAGGACATGGAACACAAAACGAGTATTGATATTACGGTGATACATTTTGGGTTTAAAGAGTCAATTAATCTCATATTAATGCATCAGACGAATTTTGTATCATCATCAAACAATAGAACAGCATCATAATTTGTGCTAACCTTTTTTTTTTTTTTTTTTGTCAAAAGTTTTGACTCAAAACATGTACTGAGTAGCATTTTAAACATTAGTAGAAAAAAGGGAAAATCACATTTTTAACTCTCAAAGTGTAACTGAGTAGCACTTTAAACCTCGAAAGAATTCTACTAACACTATAAACCACCAAACTTGTTTTACTAACACTTTAAACCTCAAAACTATTTTTTCTGTTTGCAAAGCCATAAAAGATGATGGAATAATCAATTTATGTTTGTTTAATATATATTTATTTAATTTAATGTAAATTTAAATTAATTATATTATTTATTACGATTTTGACGATAAATAAAAAAAGTAAAAAAAAAATCATCATCTTCGACTATTCACCGTCCCACCATAATTTTTCGGAGTTTTATTCAGTTTATTGTATGTGTTCACCATCTTTTTATTCAATTGGTATTATAAGATTCCAATTTATCCATCGGAGAGAGTTAAAACGCTTATGGATCATTCTAAAAGATTGTTTTAACAGTTTATTAAGAAATTTCATGGTCGGACAATGAGTAAACGAAAAAAATAAAGTTTTTTTTTTGTTTTTATAGATTTTTATTAATTGTAATAAATAACAAAATTAATTAAAATTTAAAATAAATTAAATAAATATATATTACATAAACATAAATTGATTGTTCTATCATCTTTTATAGTTTTGCAAACAGAAAAGTTAGTTTGGGGGTTTAAAGTGTTAGTAAAACAATCTTGGTGGTTTATAATGTTAGTAGAATTATTTCGAGGTTTAAAGTGTTTCCTAGTTACACTTTGAGGGTTAAAAATTTTTATTTTCCCGTAGAAAAAACTCGACTACATGTCATTATTTATGTGCTTTTAAATATTCAATTCATTATGAGTATTAGAGATAATTTAAGATATTTTCTAGCAAAAGCCGGTTGTTTGTTTGTTTGTGAATATTTGTTGAGAAATAATGAATCTCCAACTTCATAAAATATTATTCCACCTAAAATTATATAAATCTCCAACTATGGTTATAAACAAAATGCACTTAAAATTTCAAACATAAGTATCGAAAAAATCAAAGGTAAGCTTAATTTCGATAGACATTTGAATGAATCAAATTACAACGTGATATTAATTAGGAGAAGATTGTAGTTCAAAAATTAATTAAAAGGAGAAATTGTCCAAAATAGTTGCATCTCATTCTTATGGAGAAGAGGACACATTGTCAAAGGGAACTTGTGGATGTGCAATGCCCACCAATTCTTTGGATTTAATTAATTAACAGTTTGCCAACTTGATTTCTTCATTTTTCTAAAGGCTTGAAGATCTTCAAGATTCGAGCAAGAAAAACGATTTTGGAGACCAGAATGAAATAATTAAACCCCTTTTAATAATATACAACTATGTCCCATTTGCACTTTTAAATATCCAATTTGCTTCTTGTAGAAAATACAGATAGATAATTCTCTAATGATAATATATTACACTTTATTTTCATACCTCATTGCTTATGTAATCTCAGACAACCTGAGGAAAGTCTTCAGACCAAAAAACTCCACTACTGATATTTGATATTTCCAATTTTTATAAGAAGACCATTAAATAAAACCAAGTAATTAAGATCTAGTTTCTTGAATAATCAAAACTTCCAAAGTCAATAAGACCGTATTATTCCATCTCCACTCACTAGCATGAAAATTAGATGTGAGAGTATGGTTACATAAGGAACCAACTAGTTATATCTGAAGAATTTTGAGATATACTAGATATTGAAATAATGCGGAAGCTAAATAAACAATAAAGAGACGACACGAGATTTAACGAGGTATCGGTTGGTTCTTTCAAACCAACCACTAGTCCTCGGGCTGCAAACAAGTTTATTAGATCACTTCAAGAAGACAAGTACACGATAGACTAAAACTTCTACACAAGTTTTAATACATCTACCAAAGAAACATGAACTAAGGTTACAAGTAAAATCAGTTTACTCCCCCTTAATCATGGCTGTCTTCTTCTTGGAGAAGTCTTTGCTTTGTGCTCTTCACACCAACAGCAATCTCTTCTTAAGGTAATCTCTTCCAAAACTTAGCAGCTAAACAACACTTGTATTATCAACTCTGTTTTATTTTTCTCTGTTTTTGCAATGAGCAAGCGTATCATGAGAAGATGCGTCTTCTCCCTTTTATTCACCACCAACGTATCTTGTCATTAATCCTGCAATATCTCATTCCTTTTCTAACAAGGAAATAAGATCAAATACCTTGCACAAGAACGTTAGACAATAAAAGCACACAGACAAAGGAAAGTCAAATTCCCACATTATCAAGACTTTCCAAACCAAATTTGCAATTAATAAGATGACATAATAATTCAAATTACGATCCTTAGAATATGGATTCTACAATATCCAAAGTTCAAAGATCAAAACTTTATAGTTTATATGCGGGCTGTCGATCTATTTCTCCCTAATAACTATGACATCAAGCCAGATAAAGCCCGATCTATGACTCCGTTCTATATGTCCCCGAATCAAACTTTCTAATCCTATACCTCCCCGAATTAAAAGTTCAAAATCCCGATGTCCCTGATATAATAGTTCGAAATCTTGTTTTCCACAGAGTTGGCTTACGACGGTTTACTATTTTCTTAACCGGTTAATAAACCTACTAAACCTAATTATACTCGACTAAACCAAGATTTAGACCCGATTACAGTCTACCCAAACATTACCAAATCGAAACCCTAAAAACTAAATTCCCAAATCGAAACAGACGACGAACCCTAGAAAAACAAAGAGAAAGTGAGAGAATCGAAGCTTGGTAGCTGTAGGATCTTGAAATCGAAGCTTTCGATGTCTATGGTCGTTCCTAATCCGGATTTAGTAGGAGATGTCGATCCCGAAGCTGAAGATAGAGATCGAGTTCTGATGCAGGAAATGATAGAGGAGTTCGTCGACGAACCACCAATTCGCCATGATGAGTATCCGGAGAGCGATACAGAGGATAACCACGACGGTCCAGAAGTGTTTCAGACACATATAAGGCGCGGTGATGGGCATTTGTACCCTAACCAGACATTCTTTAGTGGAGTCGCTTTCAAGGAGGCTGTAGTGGATTATGCTCTGCGAACTGGATGCAATCTGAAGCAGTACATGTACGATTCCGATAAAATTGGGTTCAAATGTGTTGGTTGCGATGGTACAGAAGGATCAAAGTGTTATTGGCAAGTGTATGCAGCGATTCTTAAGAGTGATTCGATGTGGAAGATTAGGAAGTTTATAGATAAGCATAGTTGTATCCCAAATGGTGAATGTGAGATGTTTAAGGTGCCTCATATTGCTAGGTTATTTGTTGATAAGATTAGGGACAATCCTGAGTTTTACATGCCAGCAAAGCTTGAAGAAATCATTAAGGAACAATGGAAGATTAGTGTTACTAGGCCACAGTGTCAGTCTGCGAGGAAAAAGGCACTGCAGTGGATTGAGAAGGAGTACGATGATCAGTTTGGTAGATTAAGAGACTATGCGGCTGAGATACTTGATTTAAACAAGGATTCTCATGTAGAGGTTGAATGTCTGACGAGTGAAGATGGTAAAGACATTTTCAACAGGTTTTATGTCTGTTTTGACACCATTAGAAGGACATGGATAGAGAGTTGCATGCCTCTAATCGGCATTGATGGGTGCTTTTTAAAGAACAAAGTAAAAGGTCAGTTATTAGTAGCATTGGGCAGAGATTCAAATAATGCTATATATGCTATAGCATGGGGTGTGGTTCAAGTGGAGAACACAAAGAATTGGGTGTGGTTTGTGAAGATGTTGAAGGCTAATTTTGGCTTAAATGATGGTGAAGGCTTCATCATGGTTTCAGATAGGCAAAAAGTAATTTTTTCTTGTCTCCTGTTTTATTTTTATTTGTGTGACATGCTGTTCAGCTTTGGCTCATCAACTTTGGCTTATGTTTCAGGGATTGATCAAAGTTGTTCAACTGGAGTTACCCAATATAGAGCATAGGATGTGTGTACAACACATATACGGAAACCTAAAGAAGAATCATGGGAGTAAGACCCGGATGAAGCCTCTACTCTGGAATTTGGCTTGGTGTTACAATGACAAAGACTACAAGCAGCGATTGGAGCAAATCTTTTGCTATGACACTGTTGTTTACAATGATGTCATGAAGACTAATCCGAAGACTTGGTGCAGGGCACGATTGCTTCCCCACACCAACATCTCTTTGGCACACCGACAACTCTTCCTCTTCCACGAACACTTGAAGATCCTGTCGAATTGGTTGATACATTGCTCATCTTGAAACTCGATTTGGTTTTTAAAATCAAAATTTGGGGATTTTGAGAATTTAGGGTTCTTAGAAAACGAATTTTGGGGATTTTGAGAAAACTACTTCTGGGTCGGGTTTTGTAATAGAGTTGGGTTGTTTTCCCGGTTTGTTCTTGGGAAGAAATGGTTTGGTCTCGGGTTTACGACGCAAACCGAAGTAATCCAGACGCGGGGACATCGGGATTTTGAACTTTTAATTCGGGGAGGTATAGGATTAGAAAGTTTGATTCGGGGATATATAGAACGGAGTCATAGATCGGGCTTTATCTGGCTTGATGTCATAGTTATTGGGAGGAAATAGATCGTCAGCATCGAAGAAGATTAAAACTTTCTATAAACCCAACTACATTAAAACTTATATGCATCGAAGAAGATTAAAACTTTCTATAAACTTTAAACTTCATATGTATTCACAAGAAGAAGAAAGAAGGGATCATATTCGAACTGTCCTACATTACCTAACTACATTTACTATGCCTCAAAACCATTAACATCAGAAAGTATCAGCAGCTTCAAAGAAAGTCAGCTTCTGGCTAGTAACAGCTAGACCGTATCGGAGCAGAATAACAAACTTAGGCCATTCAATATGAATCTGAGATCTTATGTAGAGCCATGAACATCTTTTTCCCCTCCAAAATCCAAGTCCTGTATGTCAAGATCATTGAACCTGTGATGGTCTAAATCAATACCATTGTTCTCCATTTCACTCGGCTGCACATAAGGATATCCATAATCAACTCCAGGATGAGCAATCTCCATAGGGTTGAGGCTCCCGAGCAAGTTAGCATCTTGAAACTGCGTTTGGTAACTGAAGTTTGGCTGTCTATCAACTTGATTCTGCATTGTCTCTTGACCAGACACATTGTTGTCGTCTAATATACCCAACAGCTCATTAATATCAAACGTTTCGTCCACACCAAACTCCAATGGTTCTTGTTCATTGCCATTTCCCATTAACCAAGCATCCAAAATCTCCCTTTTCGGGTCCTGTCCAATTCCAAAACCAACAGCCGAGTTATGTTCTTCCATCACTTCCTCTTTTACTTTCAGCTCCTCTTTAATACACTGAGAACTATCTAAGAGAACATATTCATCGTTACAATCCTCTAGTTTCACCTGACCAAAACCAGATCTTTCGTTTGTATCCTCACGTGCACAAACTTCAGATTCATCAGAGAATGCAGTAACCGAGCCAGACACAGTGGCGGCAGTCGAAGAAGAGCGATTCGTGATCTCGGGAAGATTGAGTCTGGCAGACTGACCATATATAGCTTTGGCAGCCTCGTCATAAGCCAATGCAGCTTCATATGAACTAGAGAAAGTACCGAGCCATAACCTAGCACCTCGGCCTGGCTCACGGATCTCAGCGACCCATTTACCCCATGTCCTCTGTCTAACTCCTCTATAGTCACAAATCCCATTTTCAGGTCCTCCTTTACCTTTCATACAACCCTTCCTCGAACCTTTTGGAGGAGGATTTCGGACTGGTTTCGGAACACCACCATCGATGCAAGAATCTGCCTCGGTCTGCTCATTATACTCCCTCCATTGCCTTAGAATCTCAGCTACATCTCGTGTTCCACGAGACTTCCTTTTCCTGGGAGAATCAAAGGGCATAGAAGCAAGATTAGCAACATGCTCGAGAACTCCCATTTTCTCTATTGTGTTTCTTTTTCTCTCTTCACAAAATTTAAAGCAACGGGCTCTCGACTATACTTCGAAACAATTTTTAACCACCTGAAGGTAATAACACCAAGTGGCTACAAGAAGAAGTTTTCACAATCTGCAGCATCACAGCGAGCAAAAAAGAAACCACATCACGAACAAAATTAGAAATTTTAGAACAGAGCAAACTCAGAAACAGAGAATCACCTAAGGATTCAACAGAGAACCCATAAACTAACTTCTGTTTCAGGAAAGGTACCACCTTTAAGGATTATTACAGCTAAAATCCTCTAATTTCCACACACGAAGCCACAAATCGCAAAGAACTCAATCCAAAAGAGACAAATTATGCCCAAAATCATACAATGAGTTCCAAATTCCTGTCTACGAAAAACCCCAAAAACCCTAAAATTGAAAACCTTTCAGCTTCCACCATTTACACAAACAAAGGAACTTGAAAACAACAACAGTCGATAAAAACAAAATCTTTAAGCCTAACAATGAACAATCACATTTAGCACACATGCACAAGACGAAAAAAAACAGAGAAAAAATCTAAAAATGTTAGAAACAAACCTATCAACAATCTCCGACGGCATGTAAGAAATCACTCGAACAAAGTATCAGCAGAAGAAGAGCAAGAAGAACACAAAGGGTTCAATGTAATAGTAGTAGTAGTAGCAAAGACGATATAATCAGACAAGTCTTAGCAGAGGAGAATAAAAAAAGTAGGCATGGGCGTTCGGTTTACTCGGTTTAATCGGTTCGGTTTATTCGGTTTTTTGATTTTTCGGTTATCTAGAAAACCTGCCGAATTGAACCGAAATTTTATTCGGTTCGGTTCGTTCGGATCTCGGTTTATTCGGTTCGGTTCTCTGCTTAAAAATCTATTCCGAATTAAACCGATTTTTTTTCTATTTCGGTTTATTTAAACCGAATTAGCCCTAAATACAGATAATGGGCCCAAAAAAATCTGTAATCTAGTAACAAACCAATAAAAAAACCCAATTACAATTACAAAACCAAACTCATCACATAACTATGGATTAAAGCCCAAACCCATTACAATTAGGGTTTTCCATGAAGTGGCTGACGGCGAGGCTGCGAGGAGACGTCAATGGCAACGGCGACTGTTGGATATCCTCGTCCGATGAGACTTCCGACAATATCTGGTTAAAATAGATAACAATACAACACTTCAAAACTGAAAAATTTCAATTCTATATTTCATACCTCTAAATCGTTATAGAAGGAATAGTAAGGATAAAACTCCGGTTCTTTTTCATTCTAAACTCCATGAGAAATCAAATAAACCAACCCCAAATCACATTGAAGAGAAAAACTCAAAAATTGATGATGGGTGAGACAACTTACTGTAATCTAGCGGACGAAGAAGTACAAGCTGGAAAAGATCAAGAGGTAGAATCGGCGAAGAGACGAGATGATATGATTATTCGATGTTTTGTTTCGAATTTTGAAGAGGAGAGAAAGAGCTGGCGAGAGAGAGATGCACGAAGGTTGAAGAGAAGCAATCATATTTTTTTTATCTAGGGTTAAGCATAAAAAATGACTTTATGTCGTTTTGGGCTGAGTATAAAACATTATTGGGCCACATGTCTTTTATTTTTGACTTATCAAGACTAACACATTTGTTTGGGCATAATATAAAATAATTTGAATCCACATGTAAATCAGCCCAATTTCAAACAAAGTAAAGAACCTAATCGATGGTGAGGGATTAATCATGGCGGCCGCAACTTCTTCTTCTTCATAAGAACACACAGAAGCAGACTAGGAAAGAAGAAGATGGAGTGATGTAGAACAAAAATCGAATAACCGATCGGTTATAGCCTGCCGAACCGAACCGAACCGTTACCCGAAATCCCAAAAAAACTTTGCCGATCGGTTTACTCCTCATCACATAGTCGACGCCGATAACCGAAAATTTTGGGTTTTTCGGTTCGGTTTGATCGGTTTTTGCCGAACGCCCAGGCCTAAAAAAAAGTTTCGGGATTGTGAAAGGAGAAGCCTTTATATATAGACAAGTCTTAATTAGATATTTCAGATATTTATGTGATGACGTGGCGCTCGAACTTACTAGATTCTGATTCCGGCTGGATCCAGAGCCCTTCCTTATTGCTTTGGGCCTAAGGTATTTCTTACTATGTTGTTTGGACTATTTTACCCTCAAAGCTTCTTTCTAATTACACTTTTTGCCCCATTTTGGATAACGACAGCTGATTGTGTTGACTAGTCAATAATCAAGTCTTTGTTCACAGGAATCTATGGGCTTTGGGTCCATAGTACTATCTTCTATTTTGTGGACTATTGTTTAGTTTGGTCTAACTATGGATTAGTGTTTTTTTTTCTTTTGGTCAACGTGTATGGATTAGTGTTTTGTTAACTAATTTGGTAACTATTAGATGAAAAACAAAAATTGTTACGAGTAAATTCAGAGAAAAATATTAAAAGTTTTATACTGTGTTTTGTTCCGTGGATTACCCTAAAGAGCCAGCCTATCATGCTTATTTTTGTGAATATAATAACACAATTGTGTTAGATACGTCCAAATTGTGAATGAGTGAATTTGTTGTTAAATAAAGGTGACCAGCTTTCGTGGAGAATTTCTATTTTCCCTATGAAGTAACAATCCATTTTCTCTTTGTCTAGTCGAGGATCCATCATTCATATGTGAACGTAAAAAAGTTGTCATATATGGAATCAAATCAACATTATTTGGGTTAAGGACTAGTAATGCCCCAACTTAACCAATGCTACAAAATAAAATAATACGATTAGATATTGAACTTAACATTTTGGAAATGCTACAAGTTAGAAATCTCAATAATAACTCGATCATAACAAAACTTGTACGGTACAAGATTAGAGTACATTTTCAAACAATGTGATAGGTGGTGAATACAACAAAGAAGAAAAATTATGAAAATTGTCAAAATAGGGGTTTGGGACCAAAACTATCTAGTGGCAATAGAGTTTGATAATTGAGTCAGCGCCTGCAGTGAATAGCCATGGTTGTCTCGGATGAAACTTGCAGTCCAAGACTCCTGCAGTCAAAATAATAATAATCAAAACCCATTAATATAATCAATCTTACAAGTTATTATGTAATAGTGTATTCTTAAGTATCAAAAACACCGTAATAACTTACCTCCTTTTGAAGAATGACCTCTTAGAATCTCCAACGGCACAATCAGAGGATTCTGATTCAGATCATTATACACCATTCCATGGAAAACATAAGCTGTTGAATCTTCCGAGCACGAAGCAAATAACGGATAAGACCGATGAACTGCCACATTTGTAATGTCTTTAGGGTGATTCTTAAGCGTCTTGTACGGTTTTGAAGACAGATCCATGTCAAACCAACACATCTTCCCTTCTTTGCTTCCTACTATCAGATTATCACCACCAGGATGAATCGCCATGGATGAGATTTCTCTCAATCCCGTCTCAAGCTTTTTAGTGGCCTCGCCTGGCTTCAAAAGATTGTAAACACGCACGTCCTTTCTAGTCGCAACGAAGAAGTAAGAAAGGCTGGGATGAAAAAGTGTGCAGACTGGGAGTCCGCGTATCTTAAATGGGAGCCTTTGTGTTTTCTGTTTTGAGAGTTGGTGCAGTACCACTCCCCGCGTTTCGCCAGATGCCATCACTGTTGAGAGATAGTCTCCTTTACGATGCCAGTCAATAGACGATATGCTCTGAAAGATATATATATATATATATATATATATATATAAACCAACAAACCAGTTTAGGATTTTTTCCATGTAATAACTGTTGAAAGAGGATATTTTGCAAAAGTGTACCTTAAAATGTCTTATCTTGATCCCTCCATATAACTCATCAGGTAGCCAGGTTACAATTGCTGCAACTATGAATGTCGTGCAAAATATACCAACCAAAAAGATTCAATCATACGGAATTTCATCACAATTTCTTACGAGATTATAATGGTTATTCCAAGACGCTTACCAGACGCTTCTGGTTCTGGAATGTTTCCTGAGTGAAGCCTCTCTTTAGTAATTTCCTGTTCCTCATCAGTCCCAAGTTCAGTGTTCAGAAAAAACAAATCTCGTCCCCTGCAATGTGAGATGAGAAGGTTTCACAATAGATTATTATAATAAATCCAAAAGCATACTCACAAGATCCTAACTCACATGGCAACAGCTAAAACTGGAAGCCTGGAAAGAGGATTCCAAGCCACACACATAATAGCTTCATCAAACTGCCAGACCTTAAGACATCTACCAGTTTCCACTTCCCACATACGAACAGATCCATCAGTTGAACCTTTGAAGGAAAAAAGAATACAAGATTAGCATCTTAAAAACCAAAGAGACCTCTTTGGAATTGAATTTATAAAAAAAAAATTGAAAATACCTGAGGCTATCCACTCGCCAGAACTATCAGTGGATATGGTAGTAACAGCCCCTGTATGTCCTTTATATTCAAGATAACAGGAATTAGGATAAGGTCTAAGATCCTTCCTACTAGGTAGCTTAGGCTTCAAAGATTCAGGGTCGATGTTTATCTGGTGAAAAGAAACACAGTGAGAATTAATACGGAAAAGAAAAAAGAAACCAGGAAATGAGATGATAAGTCCTCACCCTCTTCTTTCGAACTCTCGGACATAGGTATAGATCCAAACAGCGCTCAAAAGACTCCTTCAGTGCATTCTCATACGCTGGGATGCTTCTCAGAGATGTAAACCTATGCGCAGATATATTTACCGTAAGGCTCAGCTAACAAATACCAAAGAAACTACATCAGAGTATAATAAACGAAAACTATTGCATACCTTTTAGGAATGAATTTTGGACGATCTTCCTCATACATCAATTCATATGAGGCTTTCTCCTCCTCTGTTGGAATATATTCCAAAGAAGGATTGTATGATTCATCGTGTCCTGGAAAGCCAAATAGTACAAAATAAAACTTTGAAAATGGAATTCCCAAGAGAAGCAGAGAAACAACAGAAAGTCAGCAAAAAGTTTTCACCTGGCAATTTCAGCTTGGGTGGAGGAATATAAGTTAAATGCTTGCTCTTTTGATCAGACGTCGAATCGTCACCCCATAAGAGGTATACATTGGGCTCTTCTTCAGGCTTATCAAACTTGATCAACCCCTTCCGGATTGCTCTAACAAGCTTAAGAACCTTTTTGGCCTCCCATTTTGAAGGGATGAATCTTCGCTTGGGCTCTGGTGCACTTGAGAGTGGATGTATTGAATCATCCCATTTGAACCAATCAACATAAGGCTGGTCCCAAGAGAATCAATCAAAAGGTTACAATTTGAAGAGATTTGTATAACACAAGTAGAAAACGGCTACACATAAACCACATACATACCGCATATGGATCAAAGTCAGCATGTGGAGCTTCCCCTTTGAGTATTCTACGCATGAGGTTGCACTCCTCTTTAGTCAGCTCCACTTCCTCGTCATTATATTCATCATAAATTTTGCGCCTAAAGTCCAAAAAATTTCATCAGCATCATGATACTAACTAACGGAATACCAACAAACAGAAAGTCTTCAAACTGACCAATTCTTAGAGTCATCCATAGTTGCAAGAAAAGAGTCAAGTTTATCTTGTTTTTCTTTCTTAGTAATCTTCTTTCCCGTGATGTCATAACCAATATGTTTCTCATCTTTATACCACTCCAATGGAACATCCCCAACTGTATTTCTAGAAGGAACCTACAGATTAAAAAGAGAAACATATATAATTTCGTCCGGAAATGGAGAAAGATTCAATTCTAATATGAAATAGAGAAAAGCATCAAACCTCATCTTCTGATGAATCGCTCTCTTCAACCGCTTCATCTCGCTCAGAACCTTCATCACTCCCATCTTCCTCACCGTTGTCACTTTCTACTTGTTCACTTTCTTCATCATCCACATTATCAATTGACCCCTCATGCTCTGCACCAACAAATCTTACTTGAATTTACTTTCCCATGTTAAAGCTAGAAACTTTATTCACCCACTATAAAGTCCCACCAACAAATCTAACGAAATTAGCTTATTCAATTCAAATTATTAATAGGGTTTAAACCACATCTATCAAAAGCATAAACACTAAAATTTCAAATTGAAGATGAGCTAATTTAGACGAAAAGCAGAAGCAAATTACCAAGCACGTCGTCCTCGGAAAATTCTACATCTCCATCTTCTGTTCCTTCCTGTGTTCCATCATACTCTGAATCGAAAAAATCGGAGTCGAAATCATCGGAATCCAAAGACTCAGGCAAACTCTAAAAATCACCCAAAAAAAAAAAAACCAGAATAAATCGAATGCAGAATAAAGATGATGAAACAAAAGAGAAGGTGGGCGAGAAGAATACATCGCCGTCGTAATCAGAATCAGTTCCAGATTCTTGTAGAAGGTCCTCCTCTTTCAAGCTTTCTTCTACTGGTTTGAGCTCTATTTCTACTGGTTTCTTCTGTTTCTGAGATTTCCCAGAAACGGTTTTGCTCTTGGTTTCAATAATCTTATCTTCGTTAGCTCCTTTTTTCTTCTTCGTCATCGGAGCTTTCAGAGGCGAGTTTTGGTCTGAGAAGAAAATTTGATTGAAGTAGGCAGCGTATCAAGAGATTTAGGGTTTTAGGTTGAAGCCGTAACTCTCTAATGGGCCTAACTATTAATGGGCTTTTCGTGCAAATGATAAAACACTCGCGACCTAATTATTTTTTTACGGTAAGATTTATTTTGCATTTTTACCTTTTTATATCAAATCTGACAATCGGAGTTCTTAAAAATTCTTATACAAGAAAAGTAACGTCTAAGAATTTTTTTTTCAAAAAAAACGTATAAGAATTTTTTTGTTTTTTGCTAAACATGTAATTTCGATAGATCAGTGGCAACATGCATGTGTAAGAAACGAAGAATAAATATTTTGTTAGATTTTGTATAAAACTAGCCCACTGATTACTCAAAATATTACAAAGTCATGACAACTTTTGTTTCTTCTAGTAATGTCGATGTTATGACTTAATTTATGATGCATCCGCGTCGGAAATCACTTTGCCCCAAACTGGTCTGCTCAACTAATTTGGAATTCCACGCCACTTTTTCTTTATGTCATTTCATTTCACTTATTCCTTTTCAATTAATTTCGTTATCATCCCAAGTTCAAAACTTCAAATACAATGTTACGTAAAAGAATAATATTCATCAATAAAGCAATCCATTTTCGAATTGGGGATAAGTTTCTTTCTTTAGAACTTCAATATTCATCATGTGGTTGAACCCTCGATTTGACTTCAGCCAATATTACGCCAGAAAACCTTATGTTGTTTATGATCACTTAATTTCCAAGCTGATTATGGAAATAATTAGAATTTTAGCTCAACAACCATTACAAATGATCGAAGGAATGAAACCTTTTAACCAAAAAACATCGAACGAGAAAAAGAAAGAAAAAAAAATCAACTTTCATGGTACTCTTAGGCTTTTAGCGCTTGATTTGGTACTATAATGTCAAAAGAATACATCAATAATTGAGAAAACTTAAGCTGAAGGGTCCGGTCCAACTCAGGAGTATGACCCGGTTTAAGTCTATGACCAACAAAAAACAATTGAATAGAACATGAAAAACTATAATGTGGTTTTATGTTACAAAGGATCTTGAACTCCTAATAACATACGGGTAAATCAGCAGGAGGCTGCTCCATTGTCTGCAAAACTCCATTTCCATTCTCAACCAAGAAAGCCATGGCTAGCCCCCAAGATATGTGTGCATCTAGATGACAGTGCATTATCCAAACCCCTGTTTCAATCATTTTTACACGTAATTAGTTTCGTTAATCCCGATAAAAATTACAGAATCATGTAAATTTATAAACTTTGATTAAATTTGAATAAAAATCCGTAACACTTCTAATAAATGATATAAGTAGTAACTTTTTTACTAATAGTACGTTTAGCTTACCAGGGTTGTCTGCGACGAATCTGATGACGGCCCAACCATTAACAGGTACACCAACAGTATTTCTGAGAGGCGGGTCTTCAAGATTGAATTTCGCGGTATCTTTCTTGGGATTGAAGTTACCGAAACCTTCGGCGATAATGTAGAAATCGTAGCCGTGTAGATGAATTGGATGATTTTCAGGAGTTACTATACCAGTGTCCTGAAGAACAATCTGAACCCTTGATCCATACTTGAGTTTGTATAGCTTAGTCCCTCTATCAGGTTGGTAGAGAGATCGGCTTATGTTGTTACCTGTGTAATCAAATTTAACCGGAGGCTTGGCCGGAAAATCGGTTGTGAAGACTCCGGGGATTCCATGGTGGTGAGCTTGAAGGAGTGAGTAGTTACTTGGAAGAGCAAATGAAATGTTGTTCATCGATGCAGTGAAACGTGTGCCGTTAGGACCTTGACATCTTCTTGATCTAAAGTTCTTAGGACAGTTGTTGAGACCAAGTCCGACAGTTACAAAGAGATTCTCGTCGATTTCTGTCGGAACCTCAGCTCTTCTTAGTGACCGGAAGCTTTGGCTGAAACGTGTGACGGTGTTGGTGTCGTTGTAGGCAGGGAGGATAGGCATGATTAGTTTGACGGAAATACCCTTCTTGGTTCCACTTCCGCCGCCTACACCGCAACAAGGGGCGGATTTGTATTGAAGGATTGCGGTTGTAGTTGTGTTTCCAAATGGTGCGTTTTGGGCGCTTTGGTAAGCTCTTGCGGCCATGTAGTAGCGGTTTGGTGGTTGGTCACCGGTTATGAGGACATCAGTGGTTTGGCCCGGGCCAAGAACTATCACGTTAGTGGTGAAGGGTTTTAGGTAAGAGGCGTCAGCTCCCACCACCGTGAGCTTGTGGTTAGCAACCGTGAAGAATAACGGTTGGTTCAATGCTGAGTTTATTACCCGTAGTAGTATAGTCTCACCAACGTTTATTGGTACTATTGTCGTATCTGTAAAAAAAGATTATAAAATGTCTAATTAATTTACTTATTTGAGTCTTTCGGGCTGATGTGTTTTCTTAAAAAAAATATTTATTTCACTAAAATATACGAAATTCAGTTATGACAGTTGGGAAAAAACAAGGAAGAAAGAAAATATGGGACAAGTTTTTTTTTTTGGACCGTTGATATATTTAAAATTAATTTGAAGAAGAAAAGAGTAAAACCTTGAGAAGAGCATTTATAGAGATCGCCTGGTTGACCATTGATGGTGTAAGCGTCGGAGTTATTAGGAGCTCCTCCGGTTCGTATTGATTCTCTCAACACATCAACCGGATTTGCGTCCCACCATTCACCTTAAAGAATCATAATTTACCAAAATCAAAATCACTTATATGATTGAACTTTCTTAATCATGATTTTGAATTTCGTTAAATTTTACCAAGAAGGAGAGGGACGTTGCGGTGGGGATTTGTGAATGGGTAAGACGAGCCAGCCGGAGGAAGGACAAGAAGCGAACCGTAGACAGTGGCTCTAAGCCACGAACTATGAGCATGCCACCAAAGTGTACCTTCTTGTCCTTGGATAGTAAACCGGTACGTGTAGCTTGATCCCGGTCTGATTGGACATTGGGTCACAAATTCCGGTCCATCTGCCCAACCGGTTCGCATTTGCCTCACACCGTGCCTGCAGCCACACCAAACCGTTCCATATCAGTAAGAAAACAAGGACTCATTAATTATATATAGTACGTGATCAATGTGGTTTGATCGTGTTTAATTTACCAGTGGATTGTTATGTTGTACCGAGCCCGGTTAATAACTTTGACGACGAGAGTATCACCGTTGTTGACTACAAGCATTGGACCGGGAAACATTCCGTTGACCGTAATGCTGTTGTGTGTTTCACATAGTCTCTTCACTTTCGTCGCTTGTATCTGCATGCATAAATATTATGTAAGCATACGTCTTCATTGACATATTCATTAACAACGTTCAAATATTTGAAATTAAATGCGATCATACAATGAACTCGTGGTGGTGTGCTTTAATGTTGGCTTCTGCTATGGAAGCGAAGAGAAGAACGACAGCCAAAGAGATGAAGATGAGGCTCTTGACGATCTCCATCAATGCGATTTCGATAAATTTCGGTTTGAGCCAGAGGGTTTTAGAGATGAAGTGTGGAAGAAGAGAGAAAAATGTTGTGTTGGGAATTTTAATGAAAGGCGATGGAGTTTATATAGTAGAGAGACTAAAGACAATACATTTTCAAAAACTTGGTGAATATTTTTATTTAGTTTATATTATTGTTTTGTTTTGCATATTAACTTTGTTTTTATGTAAAAAAATTTTATGTTGTTTATGCGGTTGGGGGATTAGGTTTTGATTTGAAGGTCAAAACTTGATTCAACACTAGAAGAGTTGTTGCACCCACTGGGGCCTATAAGAAAAAAAAACAATCTATTGAGTTAAAAAAAAAAAAAATTGGAAAGGTGATTACGTCTCTTGAATTCTTGGTTAACACGCTTTTTCTATTGACTTTAGATGTAATATTCCAGAATTGTCATAAACATAGTACAAATAAAACTATACTAATATAAGATTTTTGTTTTGGACCCCCATTAAATTGATCAAACTATTAATCTGGAGATGTGTACACTGGGTTGCCAACAAAAGTTATGTACGCAATGTTGTGAACTCTATGTCACATCTAAATTAAGATCAAACTTATCCGGCTCATCCAATTAGCCTGCATGCACCATATATATTATAATTGTTCACCAAGATTGGAACATTTTTATTGGCATTCTTCTAATACATAAGGCTTGGGATAAGATCGTTGTGATAATGACTAATTAATAATTATGCTAGTCGTTTTCGTTATTAATTGGATCTTGATCCCGCTTGGGCTGTTCGGTCTTGCCGTCTCGGGGTAAGAACTATGTTTTCCTACTAATTTTACCGAGGAATTTGCAACATTTTTAGGTTGTTTTTTCGTCATTAAGAGCATCTCCATCCATTAGACACTGTGTTGGTGTCTCAAAAATTTTATTTTAATCAATTTATAATAAATAAGTTATTTATTTAAATTATAAATTATAAAAAAATAATTTGACCAATAATAAAATGACAAGTGGAGACACAGTTTCTCAAAGTTTCTCAAACTAGAAACTGTGTCTACACTCTCTCCTACTTTTATATTATTTTCTATTTTTTTAATCTTGAAACACTCCTTCAGACATTACTGTTGGAGATGCTTTAAGTTTTAACATTTTGACAACAATAAAATAAAATATATATCGTTTGACGTATTTATATACCACTAGTGTGTGTGGATCGCTGCTTATCGCTTTATTTGTGACGGATGTATCCGTTGCAAAAGTTCATTTTAAACCATAATTTGACTTTAAAATTATGTTCTCTAACATTGATATTCATATAAATTAAAGAAGGAAAACGTGTATAAATAGAATTTACTAGTAGGTATTAATTTCTTTATCTTGAGGCCACCTACATTCAACAGTATATATAATACCTAAACAAAGACGAATAATCGCATGTCTAAGTCATAACTGTATTTTACTCTTTTTCTTATTTCAAAAGCTTTATAGGAGAAGAGTCTTTGATTTATCTTAATCCTATACATTGAAATAGAGTTAATATAACTGCCAGCTGATATTAAATCGATGAAATATTTTACTATATTAGATTTATGGTCGAGTTTAAGGTT